GCAGTGGCTGGTGGTAAAAACTGTTTAAAGCAGGAACAATATGAACATTTTCTCCTCTGCACCACACTCGCAAGCAGATACTGTTGGCTCTCCATTTTCAAGAAAAGGAGGCTCCAGCTGGGACTGGAGGCCCCAGCACCACTTCAGACAGAGCCTGAGGACCCAGCACCTTTCTGCGCCTGCCAGCCTCCCCCTGGTGGGCACGGGTCAGCAGGGAGCGGGCTCAGAGCCCTGCGTGCGTGCAGGGCCATCAGGGATGAGAGCCCTGATGGGGGGAGGCGGGGCCGAGTGGGGCGGGCTGAGGGCCAACCCCGCTCTGGGCCAGGCTTTCTTCTCCTCCGCCAGCGCCCCACCCGGCCGCGCCCCGTGCCCGCTGCTGCCAGAGCCGAGAGGTTTCCTTTTTCTTTTGCCTAGGGCTGTTTCCTGCCTTTCCTTTGAACTGGGGTGTTGGCTCCCCCACACAGTCACCCTCCTCCAGCGACCCCCTGGGTCTGCCCTCTGATGGGCCCGTCCCCCCAGGCTTCAGTGTAGAAGAAGGCTGGCACCCAAGGGCCCTTGGGGCCCTGTTTCGTGGAATCACCCTGCCTGCCTTCACCCTTCTCTCCTGGTCTGGGGGCCACCGAGGTCCCCCCTCTGTCCCTTCCCTCACAGCCCCAGGCAGCTCTCCCCGCGGGTTTCTCTGTCCTGAGTGAGGCCAGGAGGCTCTGAAGTGAATTCTCACTGCTTCTCCCACTCTCATATTTCAACCCCAAACTCATGACCATTAAGGTCCACCCAGTTTTGGGGCTTACACTGCAGCAAATGGGGGACTGAACAGTTAGAGCTCACAAATCGCACTTGTTGGGGGGCCAAGGCTCAGCCTCTTAGAATATAATGAAAAGGGAAACTGAGGTCTGCTTGGGGGCTGAGTGCTATGAGAAGCAAGACTGGACACATTGAACCCCCACTTGAAGGGTTTATCTAAACATGTTGGGGAACAGGCTGGGTGCTCCCCTCCCCTTCCATGAAGTAGAGACCAGGAGAAAACTACAGCTACTGGAGGTTCCAAGTAGAGCTTTTCCTGTCTTCCTGCAAGACCTCTCACAGCCCCCCAACATCTTTCACAGAACAGTGCTCTCCTTCTCCCTCCAGGAAGACTTCCGTGACTAATACTTTTTGGCCCTGGTTGCCCTAATAACAACACTGGCTAACATTGATGGAGCTCTTCCCGTGCGCCAGACACGCTGCCAAAACCTCCATGAACATCAGCCCAGTGACCCACACCACTGCCTTTGAAGTGTTAGTTCCATTTACAGATGAGGAAACTAAGTCACGGAGGGGAACCATGTCACGGATCAACATACCGAGTCAGTGACAACCACCCTGCCCCTGCTCTCAACCCCTCTGTCTCCCCCAGCACCCTGCCTGTATCTCATTGGTCATGGACACCCCCAGCTAATGATGAGGAGAGTCCAAATTACCTGGAGTCTATGCACACTCATGCACATGCACACACACACGCACACACGCGCACACACACGCCCCATCAGACCTTTCAAACAGGTTCAGAGGTTATCAAAGACAGGTTCAGTGGCTATCGTGGGCAGGACTTAATGGAGTGAAGTCCCAGAAAGGCAATGAACTGGTGGCTGGGGGTTGTGAGGTGTGGCTCCCGCCTGCACCCCAGGGGCTGAGGACGACGGAAACAGGGATCTGAATAGGAGCCTTGGATCTTTTATAACTAATGACCCAATACAGCTCTTCTCCTGCCATCTGCTTCCTTAGATTCCTCAACTTTAGAGGCAAAAGGAGAGGCTCAGAGTAATTACCCAGATTCTACTCAGGGACAACGTGGGGCGTTATTTGCCAAAAAACATTTGCTGTGGCTGTCACCTTGTGGATGTGGATGGGGTGCGCACGGGGTGTTGTGTCTTCTCATCAGGTTGGACCAGCCCAGAGCCAAGGTTCCCTCTACCCCAGACGGGCTCCCAGAACAGGCCCTCCCCAGGGAGAATGTCCTGATCCTGGTGAGTCCCCATGGCTCTCCCAGAGACTACAGTCCCGGAGGAAACTTACACAGGAGAGACGCCGGAAGCACTATGGCCCCGGGAAGTCTGCTGCCTCCTAGCCTTGACTACACAGGGTTGGCGCTGGGTCCCAAGTAGCTATCGTCTGTGGACTTGAGTGTCAAAGCAAGGACCATGGATGTAAAGGACTTTGGCCTTCCCTCCAGCCAAGAGCAAGCAGGGAGAGGTGTGTGCATTGTAAAAGGCATTGGCTAGGAAGGGAGGTGGGACTCTCACCAACCTGAGGTAGGGAAGCAGATGTGAAGGAATTTTTTTAGGGTGCAATCAAAGAATGCATATCAAGACACACAAGTGTGTTTTGAAATTCAGAGACTCCTGGTGTCTCCTGGGGCTCAATCTATGGCTTCTTCCAAGGATTGTCTAGTCCCCTCTGGCCCACCACATCCTGCACACTCTTACCTTTCATCTTCTCAACCTCACATCAGAAAGATTCAAGCGTCCACTCCTTCCCACCCCAAGCCCCAATGTTAACCAACTGGTTGGATCCCAACCTTCCAGAACCAGCCAGGCATGAAACAAGACCAGCACCCCCAATCCACTCCCAGGACACCTTGCTTCCTCCTGCCACAGACCATTCCTTTGCATTCTATACTTCCCCCCATCCTTATACCCACCCCCGCCATGTCCCTCCCCATGGAGTTCCAGGAGCATCCAGCAGAAGGCAAGACAATAAGAGTCTCCTGTCATCCCTGTGCCTCGGGCACTCATTTTATCCTCCCACTTCTCTCCTTGTACAAATGAAGAACCTGAGGCGGAGAGTTCAGTGACTCCCAATAGGTGGCAGAGCTAGGAAGAAACCAGGGTGGCCCAGAGACACTGCTGATTCTGTCAGCCCGTGCAGATGTGCGCCATCCTCAGCAGAGCTGGGGTGCATGGGGCGAGGCTCACTGGGCATTTCCTAACACCGCTGAGAAGGCACGAGAGCCCCAAGACCTCCCTGCTCTGGCTTTTCCCATATGACAGCCTCTCCCAGAGGCTTTAGTGGCTGGGCTGCTCTCCTGAGAAGGCAATGGAGGCGACACCTCCTCCGAGCCACCCTCAGGACAGCGGTCTCCAGCAGACACGCTCCAGCACCAGGCAGAGGGATCCTCCCCACTGCCCAAGGCAGGAGGCCTGGTTCTCCACCCTCTCCGTGTTTCAGATCCAACTGCTAAAGTCACCTCCTCATGTTGCCCAGGACCCACACGCCCTCTCCCCTGCTGCACTCTCGGAAGCATCAGAGAGGGTCTGAGCCCTGGCCCAGAGGGCCTTTCTCAACCTGGGAGACACAAGACCACCTCAGAAAATCCCACCTCCACTGAACCCAAATTCAGATTTCTCAGCAGTTGTGCCAGATGGTGGGGAGATGTCTGTCAGCGCGGATGGTGGGTGCTTGGAAGCCCACGGAGGCATTGTTGCTCTCCTTCCCCGAGCACTTCTCCAGAAAAAGGGTCAGTTTAAGAAGACAGGTGCTGGGAAAGCAGTAGCCCAGGGAACATATGGAGGGTCAGTCTCCCTCTGTCCCTCAACCAGGAAGGTTGTGCTCCCCCAGAGAAAGGCTTCAAAGAAGTCATTTCCAAATCCTGTAACCACAGAATCCTGTCTTCAAATGACACGACGCTGTATCCCCCAATAGATAAGCCAGCTAAGCCTGGCATGCGGCAGGAACACTGGGCGGAACCAGCCCTCCTCTACCACTTCAGGGTGACCCCTGGCTTCCAGGGGTCTGATTCCTGCTCTGCCCCTGCTGGCCTTTGCCCCCTGGACTGTGAAGGATTTGGTTTGCCTTTCTGGAATATGGACACTATTTTCTCCCTCTCACGCCCTCTCCAGACCCCCAATCTGTGCCTCTGGAGCAGAGAGGGACGTCCCAATTGAGGACAGGGGACAGAGCAATTCAGGGCTGTCCACACCCCACCAGGACACCACCAGCACTGAGCACCCCGCTCTCCTTTAGTCCAGCTAATATTTGCAAAAAGTAGCTCACTCCTTTGTCCTCAGAGCTTCCAGATCCTGGGGCCCTAATGTCGTAAAGCCCTGGGACCCCAGCTCTGGGCAGGTGACCTCGGACTTCCCACCTGCTCCATCCCTCTGAGAAAGGGCGGTGGGCTGAGCAGGGCCCGATGGGGGAGATTTCCTTTCCCCAAGCAGCTGTGGGGGGGGGGGGGGGAGGTGGCATGGAGTGTGTTCTCACACCCGCCTCCAGCCCAGGTGCTGAGTGGCCAGAGCCCCTGGCCCTCTGACTCTGAGGGGAAGCTCGAGTCATCCTGGGGACAGCAGCCCCCAGAGGGTCCCCTTCACGCGCCATCTCACCCCAACTCAGACGCTAAAAATGGTTCTTTGGTTTTCAGCCTCGGCGCCTGCCCACAAATTAGTGTCTCCAACACGGCCTCTGGGGACATGACTTCAGGGAGGCCCCTGCCGGAGCCAGGAGGCCAGTGAAGGGAGATGGTGCTGGCAGGGTCCCTTTTGGAGGAGACAGTGCGGGGAGGACCCCTCGCCCAGTTTCTGGGACCCCCTCCCACCACCAAGACTACCCGCTTGGGTGAGACAGCTCTGCTCTCCTTGCCATGCAGGGGACAGAAAACCCCCGCCCTTCGGGGGCCCCCTCCCCTCTCCTCCACCACCAGCCTGGCCAGCCTCGCTCCCAGTCTCCATCCTGGGCACCGCTCCGCTGGAGAAGAAAGGCAGCAAGAGGCCAAGGGGTGGTCAAAGCCCAGGTCCCTCCAGCTCACTGTCCAGGGACCCACCTGAGCCACCACAGGGGACCCACAAGTCAGGAGCCCCCTGTTCTTCCATCTCAGACTCTCCTTTCCCAGTGCCCTCGCAGCCCGCTAGAAGGGAAAGTCCCTCCCCACCGCTGTCCTCGGGGCGCCCCCCAGGCAGGTGCCCTAGACTGAGGCGGCGGGCCGCGAGCGGCGCCGGGGCGGGAGCCGGGAGGGGCCCGGTACTCACAGGTACGCCGTCAGGGGGTCCAGGTCCCTGGGCACCGTGGACAGCCCGAGCTCCGAGCAGTCGGCTGACAGCATGATGCCGTCCTCCTGGCAGTGGCAGGGGGCCGGGCAGGCGGCGGGCCCTGCGCGGGGCTGGGGGGCGCCGCCGGCGCACGGGGAGGCGCACAGCGCGGCGCAGAGCCACAGCGCCCGGAGCCCGGGCGGGCTGGGCATCTCGGCGACCGGCCGCGGGGGCACCTGGCGAGCGGGCGGGCGTGGGGCGAGCGGCGGAGCCGGCGAGCTTACGGGCGCGGTGGCGGGCGCGGCTCGCCTCCAGGTCCCGCGCGGGGCGCCGTCGGGGGGACCGCCCCGCGGGCTCGGCTCGGCGGCGGCGGCAGCGGGGACCGTGCAGTCAGCGAGGGGCAGGCATTGTTGAGTGATCTTCGTTATTCAGTTTCACAGGCTGGGCTTGGCAAGGGAGGGAGACACAGGCGGAGGAGGAGTCAAGGAAACTTTCTACGCTGCAGCTCGCTCCTCTTCCCTCCTTCCTTCCGAGCTGGCAGGAATTTCATCCAGGAAAGAAAGAGAGGGGGGGGGGGGGGAAGGAGAAGAAGAAAGAAAGCAAAGAAAGCCCAAAGCAGCAGAGCCGACATATCAGGGACCTGCACTTGCTCGGACTGCAGTGTCCCAGGGGACCTGGTGGGCACAGCACCCCCTGGCCTCTGGAACAGCCACTAGGGTTGCAAGGACTTGGAGGAGCCCTCCTGGCAGCATACTTAGAACACAGAGCCCTCCCTCCACTTTTTCCACAGAAGGAAACTGAGGCCCGAGTGGGAAGTGATTTGCTCAAGGTCCTAGAGCTGATGGGGGCAGCCCAGGACTAGCGCGCAGGTCAGCCCTTCCTCACAACGTGTCTTCTGGGCCAGGCAAGTGTCTTCGTCCTGAGGGGTCGGGCTGTGTGCTTCCCCTGCCAGCTGGGGTGGGGTGGTGGATAATGAGGCACCTTCTCAATGAGCATCATGCCCTGCCACCAAAGAGATGGGTGCGGATTTCCACCCACTGCACGGACCTTTCCTGCAGCCCTGATCAGGACTAAAGCCCAGGGATCACCTTGATCTGCCCCCAGGACCTAGCCAGGCAGCTAGGTTGAGGCGCCCAGACCTGCTGGGTGTCCCAACCAGTGGAAGTCAGCGAGTTGGCGCCACCTGGCCACCAGTGCTGCAGCTGCAGCTCAGCCCTGCTGAGGCGGGAATAGTGGGCCTGTCCCAGGCCACCCAGGCACCTGTGGGTCAGGAGGGTTAGCGGCTAAAACTGGAGTCAGGTCCTTGCTTTCTTCTTAAACCCGAGTGAGCTGGATGTGCTGCCTTCATGTAGCCTTGGGCTTCCTCTGGTATCTCCCGGGGAGCCAAGTGCCAGTGCAAATTTAAAGCAGGATGTGTCTCCTGTTTGGGGCCCATCTTCCCAAGGTCCTTAGAGAGGGCACAGTAAAAGCCTGGAGACCTCAGAGGCAGCCAGAATTCCTCCACCCCATACCTCCATACCCCAAGACCCCCTGCTCCCAACCCTCTGGGGCCAAAGGACCTACACTGCTGGGCCAAGGAGCCAGCAGCCCCTGACCTAGAGTACAGAAGAGGATCCCCCAGGAAGGCCACTGGATGGCCCTGCATGGATGACCCTGGCTGCCATTACCAGAAAGACCCCCAGATGGGAGAGTCCTGCCTTCCCAGGTGGGCTATATGTCCGGCCTCACTATAGCTTTGGCTCCATGCCCTGCCTGTCTGCAGCGCACATCCCCCCCCCTCCAACTCCTGTCCTGGAAAAGCCATGCTTGAGCCTGAGGCAACCTCAGCAGCAGTCCCTTGTGGCGGGTCGTTATGGCGAACCCCTTGAACCCCTGTATGAAGAGGATAGATGTTGGGGTCACGTGGAGGAGCACTGAGCCTATGAACCTCATTCTGGAAAGGTGCCTAACTGAGCAGAAAGCCCCACCTCCATTCTCCAACTGGGCTGGCGGGGGCGGTTCAGGGAGCTGACCTCCATCTCTGGCTTTACTAGCCAGACCCCCGTCCACTAGGGGTGTCTGATTCCATGTTCGGGCCTCCTGCTTTGCCGTATCCAGGCTCCGTGTCCTCCGGGACCCTCCACCAGGGCTAGTCTGTGTCCAGCAGGCACACTGCCATCCGGAACCTTGATCTCAGCAACGTGTCACAGGGTGGGGTGCAATCCTAACGTGTGTGGGACAGATCGCCATCCCGCAGGCTTCCTCTGAACTTCTCTTCTGGCCTGCTTCTCCTCCTGGCTTTTCTGCCCTAAGTCCCCTCAATGATTTCTCTCCACATCCCTCCTGGCAGATGGGAGGAAGGAGGAGAGAGAAAATGGCCACTCCTGCCCCACAAGCAGCCTCCCATGGGAACAGCCCTGGCTCCTCACTTCCTGTAAATGTGGCCACGGGTCCCACCCTGGGGGGCAGCAGGATGGTAGAGGCTGGCCCAGGGCACTGGCAGGGGAAGGCTGAGGATGGCAGGGAAAGGGAAGCAGGCTTCATTCTACCATGTGTCCTGGAAGGGGGCATTGGAGGGAGCAAAGGGGTTGGGGGGTACTGTATGTAACTGGGGCTCTACAGCCAGGGCACCCAAGACTGTGGAGAGACTAAAGTTGGAGAAAACTGGGAAACAAGATATTGGGAAGGGGGCTGCTCCAGGCGGAAAGCCAGTGGCCAGCTCCCAGCCACCCCCATCCTGCTCATGTGTGCCCACCAGAGCCATATGTTGGGCCCACAGCCCACAAGTCTTTGAGGTCATCTCTTTCCTCATTAGAGGGTGGACAGACAGAACACACTCAGCCTCAGGCTGGCCACATTCTTTATTCTAGGCACTGCCCCCTTGACAACACAGGGTCCTTCAGGCAAGCCTGGCCAGGGGGGACTTGCTGGAGCTTGCCCTCCAGCCAGCAGGCTACCGTGACCGGCGCAGCTCAGGGCAGCCCGTCCACCAGTGCGCTGTTTAAACAGTTGTAGAGGTAGATATACTGCTCCTGGGGGCACACAGGGTAAAGAGCCTCACCCTGTCTGCCCAGATGTGACGGACATAGGGCCCCTGTCTTCAATCCAGAGTGCCGTGGTCCGCAGCGCCACCTGGTGGCTGCCTGGCAGCACCACAAGTGGGTAACCAGACGCTGGGGCAGAACCTTCCCCACCACCCAAAGTGGAGACCCCAGCTGCCCCTCACCAGCGTTGGGGTCATGTGGGCACAGGCCTGAGACTGCTGCAGGGTAACGTTAAAGACGTCCACGGTGTACTCAGCGCCAGCCTGCTGCAACAGCTGATCCATAGCCAGGAAGGTGCCCAGCTGGGCCACACCCTTGCTGCAATTGACCTAGAGTTGGATGGGGTCCCTGGGGAGGTAGGGGGTATCCAGGTATGTGGGGAAACCCAACCCAAGCCTAGAGACTGGGAAAAGATACTGGACCCCCACATGGAGGGTGTAAATAACCCAATAGCGCCTTATCCCTGAAGGGACAGAGAGAGGCAACGGGAGCACTGAGGCTGTCCTTGTGACCCATGACCGAAGCAGGGCTCCTGCGAGACGTGAGGGCCTGCTGGAGAGGCAGCAAGGGGGTCTGGCACCTGCTCCCCCAGAACTCTGGCCCCCAGCACCTGGAGTGACTGAGCAGCGTGCCTGGCCTCTTCCTGTCCCGGGAGCAGCACTGGCCCACGGCCGCCAGGAAGGGCAGCAGGATGGTGGCGGGCAGCTCACGCCCGGGCTCCCCATGCGGAAACTGCAGTCGCTGCACCTGCCTCTCCTTCCCGCTCTCCCCCTGGGGACAAAGTCACAGTGGGCACGGGCGCTGGAGAGGGCAGAGAGAGGGCTCACGGGACTTCCCACTCTGCCCACCACCCAACACCTACGTGTGTGACCCTGAAGAGGGTGCAGGGCCAGCCTGCTGTGCTGCTCTCCGCCACCCAGTGCACCGTCACCACATCCATGATGATGGGCTGCGTCTCTGTCGGCCAGAACTCCTGTGACAGGGACCAAGTCAGAGGTGCTGGGGCAGCTCTTGTTGGCTCTGCCCATGCGCTGGGCACACCACAGACAATCCCCGTCCCTTCCAAGCCCTGAGCCTGCCCTCCACTGTGTGCTACCTCACCTCCTCCCTGGTGTCAGGTGGGCACAGTGAAACCAGCACGTGGGCCCCGTGCTCCCATACCAGCTCCCAGAGCTCCTTGGGCCCTGCGGGACCAGTCAGCACCACGTGGTCACGGCCAGAAAACCCTCCCTGCAGAGCACAGAGGGTTGGCTTCTGGGGGCCAGGGGTGTCCCCGCTCACCCCACAGTTCTAGGGCCCTCCAAGCGTCCAGCCTGGGAAGCATGGGTGGGCAGAGAGGGCACCAGGGGACCATCTCACAGGGAAGAGCCAGGCTTCCAGCAGCTGGTCGGGGGGGCTCTCCTCCTCCGGAGGAAACGGCGCTTGAGAATGGTCATCTGAGGGAAGAGGGTGAGGGTGAGGCTACCAGAGACCTCCCACCCAGGCTGGACTCGTGGGCCCACCCTCACGCCAGCACAGGCGCTCACAGGGAACCACGCTGTCCCGCTCGTAGCCAGGAGGGGGTGTCGGAGCCTCGTCCTTAATGGCCTGGAGCAGGAGCTGCGGGGACAAGGGCACCCTGAGCTTAGGCAGGGAAAGAGCCTCCCGCCGCCACCTACGCCCGGCCTGAAGCACACCTCATACTCCTTCAGGAAGCCAGCGTTGGCGTTGGCCGCCCTCTTGGCACAGGCCTGGGCAAAGTTCTTCACAGAGATGGGCTGGGACCTGGGGGAGGGGCGGAGAGGGGAGAAGGCACCCGGGGTTCCCCAGCTCCCGCTTCCAGTCTTCTCGGCTCTGCCCATAGACGGGAATCGGCAGGTCGGTGGGAGGGTACAGGGTACCTGTACCCCTGCCCCAACCAGGGCCCCCGGGACCTGCGACTTACTCAGAGGCGCCAGAGGACCGCTCCAGAATCTTGTTCAGGAGGCAGCTGTGCAGGAAGATGTACTGGCTCTGGGGGGAGAAGGGGGTCAGTCTGTTTGGGGAGAGGGCCACCAGTGAGGAGGTTCTAGCTCCCCTCCACCCCCAACCCACCCACAGGAACCTTCTGGGAGCTTCCCGTGCTGCTCTTCAGTGTCAACACTTGGGGGGCCTACCCTTTCCCCACTTCTACAGAAAGGAAACAAAAGCCCAGCTAGGAGGGTGATAAGTTAAGTCCCTCCCCAGGGGCCTCGGCCTGCCCCCCTGCCTTCTCCTCCGGGGTCCTTAGGCTCGATGGCCCCACCACACCCACCCGCCAGCCAGCCAGCCAGTGAGCCCTCACCGGGGTCTGGATCATGAGTGGCCGGTGAAGCCGTAGCACGTACACGGCGTTGAACACGTCCACCATCTGCTCGGCCTCTAGCTGCTGCAGCAGCCTCGACAGGGCCACAAAGGTGCCGGTGCGGCCCACGCCCGCACTGCAGGGACAACCCCAGGGAAGCCGAGTGGGTGAGGGGCTGCCGGGTCCCAGAGTCCCCCTCCCCTCCTCCGCTCTAGACGCCCACCCACCTGCCTCACCTGCAGTGCACCAGGATGGGCCCCGGGCCCTGTGTGGCATGCGCCTGCTCATGTACCAGCTCCAGAAAGGCCAGCAGGGAGCCAGGGGCCTCGGGGATGCTGTGGTCAGGCCAGGTGGTGAACTGCAGCTGCTTCACCCTCCTCTGCTGTTGCTGGGCAACCTGGGAGGGGTGGGGGGACAGGTTGCTTCTCCCCATCTTCCTCACTCCAGGATCACTGTCCTAACTGAACATTTTCACCCAAACCCTGAGGGCAGAGGATGTCTCCCTTGGGGCCTCCCCCAACCTCCTGGGTAGTCTCTGCCCCGCCCCTGCCCACCAGCCTCCCTGGGCAGTGGTCTTCTGTTTTCCATCTTCAGAAGGAAAGTGGCTGAGGGGAGGTGAGGGGGGGGGTCTTCTCTAAGCCTCAGCACCAGCACCCCCACCCGCCTGGGCCCTGGGCACACACATGCTGCAGCTGGAATTCCCGCTTGGTCCACTCGTCCTCCGGCTCCTCCACCAGGAGGTGGACAGTGATGTGGCCATGGGTGACAGGGTTGGGATCAGCCGGCCAGTAATGCTCACACAGCACCTGGGCCAGGGGGTCAAAGCAGAGAGGGAGGGGTCGTGGGCCCGGCCCCTCACCACCAGCGCCAGCACTCCACAGTGCTCTGTGACCCTGCTCTCGGTACCCACCCAGCTGCCAGGCCTCCTCCAGAGCCTCTCTCACTTGGCAGGACGCCAGCAGCCTCACTCCCAGGCCTCTCACATTGCCTCAGGACCTCAAGGCTGCTGCTGAGCTCCTTCTCGAAGCCGGATGGCCTGGCTCCCACTCCAGCTCCAGCAGGAAGTCTCCTGTCCCAGAGCCCGGTGTGGAGCAGGACAGAGGAGGCACCCACCGGGTTTGTGGGGAGAGCAGCAGTGTGGCCTGTCTTTGGTGCCCACCACTTCCATGCAGTCCTCACCCCAGTCTTTCCCCTAACCCCCGGCCCCTCCTGTGCCTAGACAAGCAGAGACAGTGAGAAACAGCAGAGGCCGGTGGAAACTGAGTCAACATGGGAGTTTGAGTACCTGGTCCTTCATCCTTCCTTCCCATCCTCAGGGGCCGGCCCTGGGGACCCCACCCACCTCTTGATTGGTCTCAAGCCTGCCTGTCCACCCTCTCAAACCTAAGGTACCTGGACCAGCCACTCCCGCAGGGAGAACAGGTGCCACCCAGTGGCCATTCAGAGAAGTGCAAGGTGCCTCACCCTCCCGTTCTCCATGCCCACGGTCAGCATGACGATGATGTGGACCTGCTGCTCCCACACCAGCCGCCAGAAGTCCTCCAGAGTCTTCTTGAGAGGCCCTTGGGTGGCAATGAATTCCTGAGGGTGGGTGTAGCCCTGTGGGTGCAGAGAACAGGAACATGTTTACAGGTGAGGTTTCAGTCCCCAGGCCTGCAGGCACATGGAAGTGAACACCCCAGGTGTGACCCCCCAGGGAGCATGCAAAGGTGCAAATGCATGAACTTCATGGGTGCACCAAGAACTCTAACCAGGAGGGGCGGCTTCAGAGACACCAACGCCACCCTGGCCCCCAGGAGGAGCAAGAAAAAGAGACATGAAAATAACAGGTCTCTGACACCCCAGAAATGGTCTCCCCATGGGTCCAACACTTCTGAAAACCAAAGTGCATCTCTCCAGGCTCAAAACCCTCCCCAGCTCCCCACTGCCCACCACATAAATCCACAGCCCTCAGCAGAACAATCAGGTCCTTCAAAGGCCCTGTCTATCTCTCCCATCTCGTGTCACCGCCTGACACCCCTCTACACGCCTGCACATCCCACCGCCTCTCTGTTCTTCTAGCCAGAAAGTCCTCAGCACTTAGCAAGATCCTGTTCATCCTTCAAGAGAGCAAACGTCCCTCCTCTGGAACTTCCTCAACTCCTCAGAGGGGCCAAGTCTTGCCTTTTCCATGATCACTGTGCTCTGCCCCTTATTATAGCATTTGTCACATGGCATGGAGCATGTCACATGCACACACACACACACACACACACACTGCATGCTTCTTCAAGGGATGTAGAACACAGCTTTCTCTGCTCCTGTGGGTCCAGCACAGTGCCTGGCATACAGTAGGCCCTTAATAAATACCTGCTGGATTGACCTAAAGAAACACAAGTTAGTGATCCTCGTGCCCAACTGATATGGTGAGGGCAGGACAGCACTCCCGCAAGCCAGCTGGCCTCCCCTGCAGATGCCCCCTGGAAGCCCCAAAGGTGGCTCTTACTGGGATGAAGTTGGCATTGATATAGTCAGAATGAGGCTCTCCATCCAGCTGGGTCAGCCTTACCCGGGAATGGTCATCTGCAGGGGGTGAAGCCACACATTCAGTGCCTGCCACACACAGCCCCTCCCTCTCCCAGGCCAGACTGTGGCCCACTGTCCATGCTTGCTCTCCATGCCATGCTTACTGTCCACCACCCTTGCTGACTGCCCACTGCCCGTGCCCAGTGCTCGGCACTCACAGCCCAGCTCCCGGCACTCACAGGGCAGCACATGTGGGTAACGGTTCTTGCTGGTGTTGGCAGGGTGCTCGGCTTCCAGTCTGGGCTGCTCCTTGCCCACCTCCTTCAGCTCCTGCAGAGATTGGGCAGGTGCTGTTTGCTGAAGCAGACCCACTTGGCCCCACCCCAGCTGGGAGCTACCCCACCTTCAGGGTAGGTCTAGCCACCCTAGCCACCCCTTGCTCCTCTCTCCTGTGAGGCAGAGGCCAGCATGGGCCTACCTCAAACTCCTGAAAGAAAGCCTGGTGGGCATGCGCACTCTTGGCCTCATAGCTCTGCCGGAAGCTGTGAATTGGGATTGGCCGGTGGGTCCGCCTGGTGGGAGAAGCGGAGGGGTAGGTGCAGGGCCTAGGAGGCAGAGCCTTGCCCTGTGCCCAGGTGGCTGGTGGAACCAAGCAGCCAGGTCAGTCCTGAATGTGCAGCCAACAGCTGCCCGCTGTGGAGCAGCCCTGGGCTCCCCTGAAGTCGAGCTGGCGCACACTGCGCAGCAGCAACGTCTGGGCTGCCAAGTTCCCACACAGAAAGATGAAGAAGGCATAGAGGGCGAGGGAGGGGCATCAGCCCTTGCGTGTGAAAGCACACACGGATCTCGGAAGCCCCCTGGCGGGGTCCGGGGGAGGCTTCTGTGCACAGCTGGTGTTGATGTCGGTTCACTAGGAAGCCAAGGGAAAATCGGAAGGGATAGAGGAGGAGGAGGAGGAAAGGAGGAGGGGGAAGAGGAAGGGGAGAGGAAGAAGGGGGAGGAGGAGTGGGGAGGAGGGGGGAAGGAAGAAGAGGGGAGGAGGGGGGGAGGAGGAGGAGGGAGGAGGGGTGGAGGGCTCCGGCAGTTGGAGAAAGGCCTGGAGAAGCTGTGATGACGTGTAAGGTGCTGGGAACGGATTAACCCCTGGCAGAGGCTGCACCCCCGGCCTGGGGTGCAGTTGCAGGGGAGCCGGCAATTGGGAAATGTCTGAAGTTCTGTTGAGACAAGGCCTCAATGAGGACTGAAAGTCCAGGGAGCAGCGATAAAGGGTCTCAAGGCCACACACCTGACTTACACCCAGATAACCACTTAGCAAGCTCCTGCTTCTGCACTCCCTGCTTGCTGCAAAGTGCAAAGTGTCCCCGTTTAGACAATAAATGTCCCGTTGCCTAATCTGCCATAACACAGGCAGCATGGCCGGTCGGGAGGGGAAAGCCCTTACCGAGGGTTGTAAGCCATCAGCTCTTGGGAAAATCGGTTCTTCTCTGCCCTGTGGAGGATCAAGAGGCTTATGGGAGGGAGCCCAGGGGCCAGGGGCTGGCCAGCCTCTTGGGGAAGATGCCTCTCCTCCCCGGCCCCGCCCCCCCCCCTTCCCTCACTCACCTCTTCCCTTTCACCCGCCTCCAGCACAGCAGGCCCAGCACAGCACAGATGGCGAGGACACAGCCCGCCACAATGCCCACCACCACAGGGAGAGACATCGCTGTCCCGGAGACACTGGTCCGGGGCTCTAGAGAAGGCAAGGGCAAGGTGGACACAGCAGTCTGTGACACTTCCTACAGACCCACCTTCATTCCCAGGCCCCACCCCAGGTGCCCAGGCCAGGCCTGAGATGCTGTCAGGGGTCTGCCCTGGATGGGAACTAAGAATGTCTGTTGAGACACCCCCCACGCTGCCCCCGCTCCTGAGCATGCCCCAAAGACCCTACCCTTCCTTGACACATTTAACGAAAGGAAAGAGGGAGAAGTCTGGCTTCTTGGGCCTCCTAGGATGTCTGTCTCCAAACTGGAAGCCCTAACTCATGTGGCTATTGGCACTTGAACTGTAGCTGCTCCAAGTTAAGATTTACTCTAAGCACAAAATACACCCAGGATTTCAAAGACTTAGTAAGAGCAGAAAGGATTCAAAATAGCACATTAATCTGTAAAAATTGGTCGCATGTTGATATGATATTTTTGACATCTTGGTGGAAAGCAAATGTTACTAAGATTAAGTTCACCTGTTTTGTTTTGTTTTGTTTTGTTTTTTAACCTTTTAGCACAGTTACCAGAAGGTTTTAAATGATATGTGTTTCCACCTGTGGTTGGCCTGGGGATTCTATTAGCCACAACTGTTCCAGAACTTCAAGGGTCTGGGAGCAGCAGGGCATGGAGGGGAAGTTTGGTCATGGGCAGCCACGAACCATCTCATTGGCCTCTGCCTCTCCTGCCCCCCGTCTCCTACCCTTCTCCAGGCCAAGTCTGGTACCAGGTGGACCTTTATCACTGGTTCTGGGTCTCCCACCTCTTCAAAGTGGGACGTGTTCTCCCTGGGACCTAAGCTTAAGTCCCTCTGCTGCTGGTTGGGGATAAGCCTCAGAAATGGGGGTCCCCCACTAATCCCCTCCCCCAGGGCCCAGCTGGAGCCCTAGCCAGGTACTGGCCCTACCTGAGAAGGCTGAGAAGGAAATAATGGTCTCAGGAGAATTGTATCTGGTAAAAGCCACAACACTGAACCTGGGGCAGAGAAACAGGAGCATCTATTGGAAAGAGGTAGCAAAGAAGACAAAACTCCTGCCAGGAAATGAAGTCATGAGCAATAGACTCTCAAATAGGGAGAGACCCCTCACCTGTTTAGAGGTTACCTATCATGCTACCTAAAACTTCAAAACAAGCACCTCTCCCATCTCTTCCACCACTTGGCCTATTGTAAGAGCAAGAAGAAGCACTCAAAATAGTATCTGAACATCCTTGGCATTGCCCTGGAAAGTTGAAACAAAATCCATCCCCCTTCCCTTCCAAGTAACAAATGGTGTTCCCCTTTTTGCCTTGCCCACCAGGAAGCTGTCAGAATAATTCTATTGACACTTATGGGCCTTCTCTTTCTGAGTCAATCCAGGTCTTTTGTTAAAAGAATGTGTAAACAACCCATAAGTGAAACTTACAATGGTCCCCCTCTCCCTTTAGCCGTAGTGCTCACCGATACTGAGAACCTGGCTTGAGTTGCCCATTACATATCTCCTGGGTCTGGCCACAGTTCTCTGTACCCATAGGCACCATCCAGGAACCTGGCACAGCCCAGGGCCCCGGGTAGAAGGGATTGGGAAGCAGGATGGCCAGGTAGGAGTCATGTCCTCTGTAATAGTGGTCAAACCATGTGTGGTTGATGGCTTCCTGGGGAGGCTTCGTCACTGGGAAAGGAAAGGGAGGGGAAGAGCAGGGTCAGCAGTGGGGTCGAAGCCTCTTTCCCTGCCACAGAGGGGCTACCCCATTTCTCTAGCATGCTCCCACTATTCATAATCCAACATGAGCCCCACCTTTAAGAATATTCTGGGTCCCTCTTCCTGACACAAAATTCATGCCAGCCTCAAGTCTTTCCTCTTACCAGCCTCAGTGCCTGGTAAGCTAGGCAGTAGCCATCTCTCCTGGGCCCAGGACTCACGTGACATGTTGGTGGTGGCCAGGACGCCATACCACTGGATATTCCCATCATCCTCGCCAAACATGCCCCGAGTGATCATCACTCCCATCCCCGTCTCAGGCTCCAGCTGGGGGGCTTCGACTAACTCTGGGGGATGCCAGGCTGGAGATGGAGAGGGGCAGGGGGAGTGAGTTCTCCTAGAGAGGTGCCCAACAACCAGACAACAGGGCTGGCTTCTCACAGCGCCTGGCAAAATGTGGCTGGAGAACATAACCAAATAAAAACTGGAAGATTCCTGGACCAGAGGCCAGAGCATGAGGCTCAAAAGCATGTACCAGACAGCTATGGCATCTGGATTAGGTCCAGAAAAGGGCTGGGGAGCAGGGAGTGCCCTTGGCGGCGAGGCCAGGGAAGTGAGATGGCAGCGGGGTCGAGTAGAAGAAACAAGAGGAAGAGGAGAAGGGGGAGAGGGGGTTGGCCTGCAGAGGCCTTGGAGATGCCCACCCTCCACAGAAGTGGCGCACACCAGGGTGACCGCCCGACTCCACAGGCCGTTCCTGCCCAGCACAGTGAGGCTGAGGCGATAGGAGGTGGCGGGTGTCAGGAGCGGCAGCAGGAGCGCAGCCTCAGACGTGTTGGTCTGGAAGATGAGGTGAGGGTTTCCTCCTGCCACCAGCTGCTCCGCCACCACCAGACAGGTGCCCACGTCTCCCACAGGCATCGTCCAGTTCAGGACCAGGTGGGTGGCCTCAGGCAGACACTGCACATCCTCCACAGGGCCAGGCTCTGTAAGAATCAAAGGCTCTGATTTGTGTGGGTGTCAGTGTGCTCCAAGAGGAGGGCATCGGAGTCAGGGGCTCTTGAAACTGGCAGGCACAAAGGGGCCGGACATTTATGTCCTTAAAAGGGGGTGCTGGCCCCATGGAGAAACAACGTCTGCCTTTGAACATCATAGCTTTTGAGAGACGTATCCCCCGGGGCAAAGATGAGCTCCGGCCCATCTGGAGGAGCAGGTGGCTCAGAATAGAGTGGGCGGTGCTCTGACCTGGATTGGGGCCTGCCTCCTCCCCGCAGACGCCAACATACCAATGGGCAGCACCACGGGGTGAGTGGACACCTGGAGCGGCCCTGCTTGGCACAGCACGGACAAGGAGAGGTTGCGTCCAGGGGTGAGATCCCTCAGGAGGAGGTGGGCTTGGCCAAGCGCCAGGGGCTGTTCCCAGGAAGGGTGCCCAGCTTCTGACAGTCGTGCGTGGCACACCCCCTGCCCCAAGGGGCCGCTGGCCCAGGCCAGGCTGATCACGACACTGCCGGACTGCATGGACACCAGCAACTCATTGGGCGTGAGCGGGACTGTGGGGAGAAGGACCAGGTGAGCCCTGAGGGCACAGTGTACCCTGCCAAGGGCTCACTGGCCCCACATGGGGCTCTCAGGTGTAGAAGTTGAGAAATGGGACAAAAGGGGGTGCTAGTGCCACTGAGGGAAGAACCCAGGGATCTCGTCCCCTCTCGCCTTCCCCACCTTCACTCACAGGTCCAGTTGGAGGCGCTGACCCGTGCAGCATGGAGGGGCCCAGCCTGGGAGACAACCTCCACCTCATACTCAGTGCCAGGAATCAGAGCCGAAAAGCCTGCGCTGTCCACCTCGGCCCCCACAGCCTTGGCGCCTCTCCGGGCCCCCGCCTGGTACAGGGTCACCTCATAGCCGTCCCGGCCCCCAGGAGCATGGGCCCAGGATGCCCGGAGTTGGGTGGGGCCTTCACTGGTCACATTTATCAGAGGAGGGGCGAGGGGGGCTGCAGAGAGAGCAAAATGGGGGGAGGGATGAAGATAGAAGGTGTTTTGGGCTGAGGCTGTATCCCCCCAAAAGCTATGTTCAAGTCTTAATCCCCTCAGAAAGTAACTGGACTGGATATAGGGTCTTTGGAAAGGTAATTAAGGTGCAATGAAGTCACTAGGGTGGGGTCCTAATCCAACAGGGCTGGTGTCCTCACAAGAAGCCATGACCATACAATGGGGAAAGGACGTTCTCTTTAATAAAAGATGCTGGGGACCTACTTGGGGGCTCAAGGGGCTAAGACGCAGCCTATGAAGCTGTCCGCAGCCTCTGCAGCACGAGTTCGATCCCTGGCCAGGGAGCTGCCCACTGCCCACATGGCGCAGCAGACCTCTCCTGTCTCACCCGCTGCTCCCCTTAGTGTATTTCAGTCAATCAACCTGTTCTGTTCCCCACTCTGTCTCTGGTGAATCCTCTCATCCCCACACTTGTGGCCTCTACCCCAGTTCTTGTATGCATAAATAAATAAATCTTTATTAAAAAAATAGAGGACATTTGGACACAGACATGCACATCAGGAAGGCCTGTGAAACACAGAAGACAACCCTCCGAGGTCAAGCCCAGGAGAGAGCTTCCCTCGAGTCCAAGAGAAGAACCAGCTGAGCTGTCCCAAGCAGTCCCTTGATCTGACCTCCAACCCCCTGAGCCAGGAGGAATTACATTTCCATCAGCGTGGCACTCCAGCCCGAGCAGACCATTGCGGGAGGAAAGAATCCACCTCACACCTCTGGCTGCATCTTCCCTCAAAGATTTCCCACTTCTCCTTCCATCCTCGGCCCAATCTGGAAAGACCAAGAAGCTCCAGACATCAGCTCAGGGTGTCAAGTGGGCCCAGGATTCTACTTGACTGGAGGCAACATGATCCCAGACAGCAGAGAAACAACTCAGAGTTAAGCCATCAAATGATTCTCATGTTCTTCTTACCCTGCCCCCCTGTCTCAGCCAGCGCAGGCCTGGCAGCACAGAGTTGGGCCCAATTCTGAAGGGCCCAACCCAAGGAGCTTTTACAGACCAGGATGTGAGTGGATAGGGTTTCAAAGGGCCAGCAGGCGTCTGGGGGTCAGGTAGAACCCCCATCCCTGGACCTGAAGTCATACAAGCCTGACCCACTCAACTAATTTGCACCCTTTTTACAAAAAGAAACTGAGATCAGAGAGGGCTAAGGCTTGCTCTGGGGCTGAGGCATAGACTCCTGCCTCCCAGGCCACCACTATTTCCAAATCAGAAGCATGGGGAGGGGAGTGCCTTTCCATTGAGAAGGGTGAAGTTGGGGTGGGAGCATCCCTCCTCTTCAGCTCCATCAAGGACCCAGTAAGCAGAAAAAGCAGGAGCACACATGAGGGGGGCTTCGAACCCAGATCTGAGGTTCTGGGTGAAAGGAAAGAACCTCCCTGTAGAGTCCCGGCTCTTGACTTTCTGGGGCCCCCGTCCCCTTGCTCCTCTCAGAAGAGTAGTTTGTGGTCAGGAGCATGGACTCTGCATCACACTGTCACACTGTCTGAGCTTGCACCCAACTCCCCATGCAGGGCTGAGCAACCCCAAGCAAGTCACTGTCTTTCTCTGAGTCACAGTTTCCTGACCTGTGGAATGAGGTCACCATAGTTTGCTTGCTGTTGTGAGATTTCAATGAGAGAACACTGAGCTATTCTGTTGTATTAACAACTTGCAGGCACGGGGCCAGGATGAGGGGGTAGAAGCCAGGTCCTGACTGGGTCCCCGTGATCCCACTCCACAGTGGCAGCCATGAAGGAGCATGGAGAATGCACACCTGTGGCCACTGCACCAGAGCAAAATTCTGGGTTCTGCCTGCCTTCCAGGACACTGGAGGGGCCGGGGACCCAGAGCACTCCCCATGAGGGGGTGGGGCCTCCTGGAGCCTAGGGATTGGGGAGCAGCCATAGGCTGGAGCACCAGCAGTCGGTCAGGGTGGCAGCAGGGAGGGCCATGCAGAGGGTACTCACGCGTCCAGCCTGTGGCGTTGGCGCTGCTGCTTTCATCCGCTCCCCGCAGCGTGGTCAGCTGCACCAGAAACTCAGTGCCTGGGGACAGCTGGCTCCAGGAGAAGTTCTGAGCCTCTGGAGCCAGAGTGGCCTCGTTTTCCAGAGTCAGGGGCCTGCAATGGTACAGCCGAAGGCGGAAGCCATCCCTGCCCCCTGGTGGGGGGCTCCAGGAAGCCCTCAGGACAGAGGGTTGGGAGGCAGGGTGCAGGCTCAAGTTGGTTGGAGAGGCAGGAACTGCAAAAGCAAGGAAGAATCAGATCAGGAACAACCCAGTCCCGCCTTTCCTTCCCACTTCACACACCTCCCAGCAGCTCCACACTTTGCCAGCCTCAAATCCAGCCCCAAAGGACTCTAAGCCCACTCCCTTGTCCTTGACAGGGAAACCTCTGGAATGACAAGTGTCTCTGTCCAGATGCCCACTCCTTCCAGCTTCCCAAACGGGTCAGCTCCTTGAGGGCACAGTGTCTTATTCAAATTCTGGCCCCCCACTAGCACCCAGCCTGCTCTCTTGCACCCCTAGGGCCCTGGACTCTAGCTTATCCACTCACATTCATTTCCCACAAATGTTCATGCCCCCCTTCAAGGGGGGACCACGGTGCACCTGGCCACAAGACCAAGCCACCCCTAACCCCCCCATGTCCCATGTCCCTACCTCCCCACTACCTCCCACCTGGCATCCTACTCAGACCCATGAATTTCTCAGCTCACTTTCCTCCAGTAACCCTTCCTGACTCCCCTTTCACAGGCCCTAAAAGATTAGCTTGAACCATATGTAATATTCATTGATTTCATCTGAGAATGCAGTTTCATACGGTTCAGACTACATGTGTGTATTCCTACCAATGCATTCACATTTAGTATGATAGACTATAGAACATAATGGACATTGTTCTATTTTAGCATACGGATCTTCCTCAACTTCTGATGGATGATATCCCATAATTGCATTGTAAATTGAAAATATGGTTAGTCAGAAGGAGCCTGCCACGCCTCATCTGCCAAACATCAGTGCTCAGCCCCGCCCACCTGGAGGGTGCTCGGAGCTCACACAGGCCTAAGGCTGGGCAGAGTCATCAAGACAGCCTGTGTTAGAGTCAAGCGTTGAACGCCTCTTGTACGTTACACTAACAGTGAGTCTGGTTGTTTCCCTCGTGATTGCGGGGCTGACTGAGCTGGGCTCCTGCCACTGCCCAGCACCACGAGGGCATCGTATTGCTGGTCTGAGAAAATTAAAAGTCAGCCTTTGAAATACAGTGTCTACTGATCGTGAATCACTTTCTCACCATGAGAAACTCAAAGACCTGTAAGTCAAACCATCCTGAGTCAGGGTCAGCTCACTTGTGTCTTCTTTCCCAGAAGGTCTTGTTCATAATTTTTAACCCGAACATCTAGCCTTATACGTGGAAAGCAGGAAGTCTCCGTTGAACATTTGTTGGCTTGTTGGACAACCAACCAGGTAGGAGGAGATGGAAAATGCTTGCAAATAGAGCCTCTTTCCCACCGTGTGACCCTCTGCACTGAGAACATGGCACAGGCACACAGAGAGAAAAGGAAGCTGCAGCCTCGAACTCACGGGTGCAGGCTCCGGCCCTCTGGATGCTGGAGCTGAGCTTCCCTGCCCAGGCCCACACGGACACGGTGTAGCAGGAACCGGGCACCAGACCTTGCAGCGTCAGGGTGGAATTGTCCGGGCCTAAGTCGACGAGACTGCCCAGGGATGTCTGGCCATCCTCCCGGTGCCAGGTGACTCTGTAGCCCTCCCGCTGCCCTGGTGCTGAGGCCCAGCCAATGGTCAGGTCAGAGGGGCTATGTCTGCCCTGGACCTCCAGCGACTGTGGTGGCAGGGGTCCTGAAGAGAGTGGCAGCTTGGTAAGGGGGCCACACACTGTGACGCCCCTTCCCAGCTGTCTGGGGCTTCTCCCCTTCCAGGCTTCCATCCCCGAGGCCAAGACTCCCAGCCCCAGGGCGAGGGGACACTGCAGCTGGCTTTCATCGTGTGGCCTGGGATGCTCTGGGTGGGGCTTCCCAGAGACAGACAAGGTCTACCTGTTGCAGGCTCGGGCACTGGCCATAGAAAGTGACCTGGGTGGCCCCAGGTGCCAGAGAGGCCCTCACCTTCCAGGCTCCCTGGCGGCCCTGCAGCTGCAGCTGCCTTGTCTGGACTGAGTGTGGAATCCAGGCAGGAGGCAGCCCCGCAGAGTGAGGGTCCATCTGCCTGTTGGTGCAGATGCCCCTGTTCAGGCCCTTCCCTGTTCCCCACCATGACAGACTCACCATCCAGCCAGGCACTGGCCTGGGCCCAGGCATCATAGGGTCCGGCCAAAACCCTCAACTCCAGAACATAGTCTCCAGCGGGAAGGGGCCCTGGGAATGTGGCGCTGAGGGCCCCAGGGCCCAGAGTGGTGTTCCTCTCAACTGGGCCGGTTAGCCTTAGCAAGTAGCCGTCCCGGGCTCCGGGCCCTGCCTTCCAGCAGGCCCGGAGCTCTGGGGGCAGGGGAGTGAGCTCCAGGTCCAGGGGGGCAGAGGGATCTGCAGTGAAAGGAGCAAATGCAGTATCTCGTGAGAGCGCAGGAGGAAAGCCTCCGGGCCAGTGCTTCCTATGTGAGGTAGGTCGCGCCTCGTCTGGACACTTGCAGCCCCTGTTCACTCCATTTGAGGTGAGTCCCGGGATCTGGCCATGGGCAGCAGTCACCCAGTGACCGAGTGTCCGTGTAGCACAGTGTCTCACACTCCCCACAATTCTGCTGCTGTGCACTGCTGTGCACAGCACACCTAGCGTCACCTCCCACTAGAGATACAGAAACCCAAGCACAGAGAAGGCAAGAATTTGGCCAGACACCCGCAATCAGTGCGTAGCAGAAACAAGATTCAGGACCCAGGCATCTGGTTGCTCCCCTCTTAACCACCCCAGGGCAGTGCCCAGTCAAAGGGGCTCTGCCGGCATCCCGCCCGGCAAGCTCATCTTGGCCTCATCTTGACCTTGAGACCCTTTTCTCTGGAGCTCAGCTCTCACTACCACAAAGCGGGGCTACTGTGAATGGCATAGAGCAGGCCGTTTTGAGGACGACATGAGATGATGCACAGGAAGTACCAGCACAGAGCCAGGCCCAGGAGGGCTCGAGGTGACTGTCACCCCCACCCTCATCTTCCCAGTGGGCAACTACCACGGCCAACAGGAGGTGCTCCCTCCGAGCTCCGCTATTTCTCATAGGATCCCAAAGGGGCCCCCCATCAGCGCTATACCCCTGTCCCCCACAAGCACTCACAGGTCCACTCGGTGGCATTGGGTCCCTCTGCCCAGTGGGGCCCAGCAGCAGCATTAAGCGTCAGTTCATAGGGGGTGCCAGGAGAGAGGTGAAGGAAGGTGTGATTGGAGACCCCCTGTCTAACTACTGCCGTCACATTGGTGCCCCCCAAGAGGTCCATGAGCAGCAGATGCAGCCAGGCAGCCCCCTCAGAGCCGTTCCAGGAGGCTCTCAAGGCGCTGGTTCCAAGGGCCTGTAGTTCCAGCTGATCCGGAGACTCGGGAGCTGGAGCAAGGAAGGAGATAGCAAAGCCAGGCTTGAGAAAGCTCCACGGGCCAAGGTCATGGCACCAACACTGGCGACAGGGAGTCCAGAGCCAGGTCACATCACGACATGCTGCAGAAGAGGCTCCAGACTGTCCCCTCCATTCCCAGCTTGGCGGCCCCCCAGGGCTTGGCCCAGCACCTGCCTTACCTGTCCACTGGTGGATGCTGGTCTTTGCTTGCAGCTTGCCAGCCCAGGTGGTCACCTCTAAAGCATACTCGCTACCTGGTAGGAGGTCACTAAAGTTGTAGGCCAGGGTACCCGGGGGCACGGAGACATTATGTGCCAGTGTCTGGGATTCCAGGTGGGAGAGGTGAAGTTGGTAGCCATCGTGCTCCCCGGGGGCAGCACCCCACAAGGCCCCCAGGCTGGATGGGCTCCCGGGGGTGCTGAGAAGCTGCAGGTCGCAGACGGTCGATGGGGCTGTGTCAGGGCAGAGAGAAGCACCAAACTCAGGGTCGAAAGGGTGTCACTCCCTGCTGTGAGGCCTTCTGCTTGGGTCACTGTGCCCTCATGGTCCTCAGAGAAGCTGCCCCTTGGTGGCCCTGCCCCTGCGGCCCCTGCTCAGACCCTAGTCGACACCTGCCCCCACTGCCCCCAGCCTGCAGGCCACACACCAGTGCGGGCCGTGAGGACGGTGGTGGCGTTCTGCCCACAGGGCCGCAGGATGGTCACTTCTAGCAGGTATCGGCTTCCTGGCACCAGGTCCCGGAACTCAAAGCTGGAGGCGTTGGTGTGGGCCTGGCGTGGCTGCCCCTCAGGAGAGCCCAAGGGGCTCAGCTGGGTGAGGCGGAGGGCGAGTTCCAACCCGCCTGGCTCTGGAGCCACCCAGCTCAGAACCAGCCCAGGGGGCCTCCCTAGGCTGCTGACGTTCACTTCCACAGGTGGTCCTGGGGAAAAGGGGGCGCCTTCAGCATCTCCCAACTCCCCTTCCATCCCACAGGAGGGAAGGCAAGCCAGAGACAGAGCAGAGGCCTCATCTGGAGTAAAGAAATTAGCCCTGCACCGCGCTCCCCACCTCCTAGGCCTCCCGAGCCCTCTGAAGACACCCACCTCCACTGTCCCTGCCCGGGCTCCCTGCCAGGGACTGGCACTCGTCTTCCTGTAGGGGGAGGGAGAAGGGAGGAGATGGACAGAAGCCTCTGGGGTCCAGACCTCTGTGAAAGCCAGTGGGGGCAGATCCAGGAGCAGAGAGAAGCTCTCCTTCTGTCTGACACTCCCCCGGCAGGACCAGAGGGCATCACCCCAGGGCACCCTAGGTGCGGGAAGCAGCCCTGGGCAGACGGAGCGTCTGTTCTCTGTCCTCCGTGCTGGTGGGTGGGAAGGAGCAGCCTCTGTTCTCGCCTAATGCAGACCAGCTGTGGAGCCCACAGAGAGGTGGGAGGCCTGGACAGCCCTGGAATTGAGGGGGGTGGGGTGCCCTCCCACTTGACCCCCATGCCCACCTTACCTTGGCCAAAGAGCCCTGGAGCCAGAGGAGGGCAAAGAACAGGATTGGGGTCCTCATCCCGAAGTCTGCAAAGGAAAGTTGGGAGGCAGCAGAGGAGGAGCCTGCCCCCCCCCAACCTCCCAAGCCCTCCCCTTGCCCAGCTGGCTGGCTGGCTGACTGGCAGGCAGGCCAGGCAGGAAGGCAGAGTTTCAGGCAGACAGCAGGCAGCCAAGAGCAAGGGGCTGCCTCTCAAACTGAGAGTCTGACCCCCACCCCGCCCGAGTCTTGGCGAGGCTCTGGGAGGGGAGAGAGGTGGGGCCTGGCCCGGGGCCCAGAGGTGGAAGGGGATTGCAACTCGCAGACTGTAGACAAGCCTGCACGCCCCTCTGCTTCCCCACCTCCACCCCACTTCAGCCCTTGGCTTTCCAGGGAAGAGAATGTCCTGTGCTCTTGGGGAAGACCAAGAGGAGACATGGCTTTGCAAGTGGATATGTGTTTTGGGTGAGAGTAAGTGGGTCAGCTGTGTGTACCCCATCTGTGTGCCCATGTGGCACCCTGCCTTACTGCGCAGCACCTGTCTTGAAGGCTGACATAGCAGTTAGCATCCAGAAGAGCCCAGCTGACCCTTGGGACACCCCGGCCCTAGACCTCATTTTCCACATGAGACACTGAGGTCCAGAGAGGGGAGGAGCCCAGCCCGAGGCCCACGGGATGTGAGGAGAGGAGCAGGCTTGAACCTGGCACTCCAGCTGCACTGAATAAACGTGGCAAGTCCTGCTCCTAACCTCCCCAGGTGGGATCCCCTCAGCTGAGAACCCCCTGAGGAAATATTCGAGTCCCTAGGGTTTTTGCTTGCCTTTCCCGTCCTCTTCCTAGGTCAGTGGTGCCCACCCTGGCACCCACCCTGGCACCCACCCTGGCACCCCTGCCTTTCCTAGCCCCCACCCTGCTCCCGATCCATTGAGTCTATTTGAAGCCTGGCCTGGAAGACAATGGACTTGAGGCCTCACTGCACACCAACCTGGAGCCAGCTTCTCGCCTTGAACTGCTAAGCGCCCCCCTTCCCAGAATGTGCTCCTAACCCCATTCCCAAGGCAAGAGGGGAGGGAGGGACAGCAGAGCAGAAGCAACCGCCCTGAGTCCTGGGAAGGGAGCCCAGACCCAGACACTAACTCAGCAAGCGGGGAGGAGGCATCTGCAGCAAACAGGCAGGTAGAGAAGCTCTGAGCGCTGAGACAGCTTCTGGGGCAGCCACCCCCTCTGGGGCCAGGAGGGCAGGGAGGACAGGCCTGCAGGGAGGCCAGCTCAGCCTGGCGCCCAACTCCAGCCAGAACCAGGGGCGCCTGCCCCTCCCCCTCTCCACCCAGGCCCAACCTCAGAGCCGCCCACCGGCCTCTGGACCTGGGCCTGGAAATTCGGCACTGCAGACTCATCAGATTTTCCAGGCTGTGTGTGTGCGAGTGTGGTGAGAATGCGAGTGTGTGCGTGTGTGTGTGTGTGTGTGTATGTAGGTATGCATGCGTGCGCTTTCAAAAGATGTGGAGCAGCAGGGAGCAACTGGGGAAACTGATATAAAAGTCTAGGGAAAGGTGAAGAAAACATCACCCCCTGTCACCCCCAGCCCACCTCACCTGGGGTACCTCACTTTGCTCCTCCTAGAAGAGACTTGAACATCAACAACAAAGTGGGGAGCTGGGCGGAAGCATCCTAGTCCAGAAAAGAAATAGAGGACAGGAGGCTGTTTGTGACTTTGGGGGAGGGCTGCATCTTAGACACTTCCCAAGAGTCCCTACAGAAGAGGGGCCTGTGGGGGATGGCATAGACGCACAGTCCTATGGCAGAGCCTGGCAGAGGCACCTGCCACAGACAGCGGATCCGGGACAGCCCTGGGGATGGGAAAGGGACGGCAAGACAGGGCACGGAGAGGCTCTAGCAGAGAAGCAGCCGCCTCCCCAGCCCAAGCCTCTCCATTCACAAAAAAAGAAAAGAAAAAAAAGGTACCACAGGGCTGTTTCTGCTCTCCGGAAACCACTCCCACAGAGGAACTCACATCCTCTCCCTAGAGAACCCCTGGGGTCCTCCCAAGGTCTCAAAGCACCTTACTGATTCCTTCCGAAGAGAGTCAGCTGGGGGGCGGAGGAGGGCAGGCTGCAGGTCCAGGCGTCCTGGCTCCCAACTGTGCCCGTGTGGTCACTCCCGCAGCTGTCCCAGCAGCTCCCTTCCGGCCCCTCCCCTGCACCCCTCCCACGCCTGAAGCCAGGCCTTGGGCAGCCCCCACGCTGGGGGAAGGTAATCACCGGGCCCAAGAGCTGCAGGGTGGCCCAGGAGGCCTGGCCTCCGGCTCTTCCCCAGCTCCTAGGGCAGGTCAGCAGAGAGGCCTGGTCCCCTGACCAGGCTGTGGGAAGGTGGAGGGGAGAGGCACGGACTGGCCAGGTGGCGTGGGCATGAGCGAGCAGCCCGAACGTATGTGTGGACCCAGCGTGGCCGTGAGCGTGCGCATCCTATCTGGATGGTCGTGTGTGCGGGGGCATCTGTGAGCACCTGGGGGTGTCCAGGGGCAGCAGCGGAAGAGGCTGTGCTGTGGGGCAGCGGCAGGCTTGGGGGGAAAAGGGAGTCTCTTCTGCCCTGAAGTCCTCCTCCCAGGGACCTGGCAAAGATCAGCGTTCTGTCTGGCAGGCTAGCCCCCGAACCCACGTGCCCCCGTGCCCCTGCGCACCCATGCTCCCTGTGTCCCCCAGCCCCTACCCCACAGCTGAACTGCTGGAAGCACTAGTCCTCTCAGCAGGGGGCTGAGTGCCAGGGAAAGTCCCCTTCACCAGCAGGCACCCACAAGGTGTCAGGGAAACTGGGTCGGCAGGGGGATGGGCATCTGGGATGGCCAGCGCAGAGGTGGAGCCCCAGGTGGAGCCTGGGGATCTCCCTCCTCCCCACCAAGGGGCCCCAGACCCCCTCCCCTACCCCTTCCCAGCACTTCTCTGCCCCACTTACTGTGGGTGTCCTCGGGTCTCCCTGCCTCCCGGATGAGGCTTCCCAGGTCCCGACTCGCAGTGTCTCTATCTCCCCCACACACTCAGGGACAAGCCAGGGCCCGCTGAGGCGGAAGAAGCCAGCCTAGGCTGGCCCAGGATTTGGAGGGGGGTGTGTGGGAGGACCCAGGATCCTAGGGCTTCTCCAGAGAGAAAACAGGGAGGACCAGGGAGGGGAGAAGGACGTGTGGGTGTGCTAGGGTCCTGGTTCCCAACCAAGATCCCCCTTTCTGCAGCCTTTGACTCTGGGGCTAACAGAAGCCTGGCCTGCTCCTTAGGTACTGCCAGGGACAAGGATTTCTGGGAATTCCAGATAGACCCGCCCCTCCAAGGGGTTTCTGACACTGAGGACAGGGAGCAGTGACTCACCACCCCTGGAATTGGGGACAACTAGGGAAGGGAGGCAGTTTGCTGAGGCAGCCCTCCCTGGCCAGCTGGAGCAGAGAAGGAAGTGGGTCTAGGGAGAGACCTGACCTGGAAGCCACACACCCCCAACTCCCCAGAAGGCTTTTTTTGACAACAGCTCCCAAGCAAAGCACTTCATAAGCTCAGGGAAGGTGGGGGTGAGGGGAGGCCATTATCACTCCCCAACCCAGGAAGAGAGAATCTGTTACAAGACAGGGAGGGGGCACCCCAGAATCCCAAACCTGCCTGCTCTAAATAGGTTCTGCCATTTGCCACATCAAGATAAAACATACACCAGAGTGCAAGACCGTCAATGGAAAGGAAATTTAATAAAATTAGTGTGCAACACAGAAAAGGGGGAGAATAGTTTCCAAATCAAGCACCCGAAGTTACCCATCCCCTCGTGGGTAAATGTCTAGCCAAACAGGGTTGGCCCAAAGCAGGGCCTCTGAGGCCCAAACGCCTGCCCCAAGTCTAAGGCACCTCCTGGTGGGGACCCCTGGGAAAGAGGAGAACAGGCTCAGCACGTCTGGGACAGAAGGAGCAAAATCAAAACCAAGATAAACACTGCCATTATCAAGCTCCCCACAAGTCTCACCCACGTCTGTTTCACCCAGTCCAGCACCAAGAAGCAAGAGCAGCTTCTTCACATGTTTCAGCTCCACGTGCTCCTTCCAGGCCTCCTTCTGGCTCCCCATCCTGCTTCCTTCCTTCCTCAGTCTCCTCTCCAGCTTCTTCTCCTCCCTGCTCTGCTCCACCCTCCCTTGGGTGGGGCAGGGAAGCTGGAACCTCCCCTTTTCCTGGGGACCACCCTGTTACAGAGACTGAGCCTCAGGCAGGTGCAGAGACTCCCGGAGGTCCTGGAGCTGATGTGCCCGTCACTCCGCAGGTCCTTCAATGCTGTGGCACTTTCCCCTGGAGCCCCGTGTGCCTGAAGCTAAGTCCTAACTCTGAAAGACGAGTCAGCAGTTGGAGTCACGAAGTTTGAGAGCTGTCTAGGAGATTCCCATCCCAGGAATGAGGACGTTTCTGGAAGAGGGGCCTCCACTCGCAGGGGCCTCTAAGTCTTCCTACTTCCTGGCAGCTCCCACACTAGAGAGGCCAAAATAGTGTCCCAGGTCCCCAGCCCAGGGAGGGGCTGTGAGAGGCAGGAGGGTGTGCGGCTTCTGCCTCCCCATCTTTGGTCACATGCTTCCGTGAATGTCCAGGCATTGTTAAGCAGAAGGCGGAGACGGAGTGGGCAGGAAGCAAGGACACCCAAAGGGAACTGAGACATCTTCTAGGGCTGGCCTCCTGCACAGCCATTACCCCCACCCCGAGTCCCCACTACTTTCCCCCTCTCCTGCTCTAGCTTCCTGGCTCTCTACCCAAGAGCTCAGTTTCCAGTTCCTCACCAGGCCCAGGCTTGTGAGGGTGAGGGGGTGCTCACTGCCAACAGGGCTTTGGCCATGGAAACCCAGGGGCACCAGCAGACCAGCTGGGGGAGGACTTTGCCTGCTTTCTCCTCTCCACCCCTGAGGTACCCTAGCTTCCTGTTCTTGATGACTATCGACAGCTTAGCCCATACAGGAGTGGCCCTCTTTCCAGTCCTCTCCTGCCCCATCTTTGACGCCACTATCCACTTAGTGGAAACACTGGGAGATCTGGGGGGTGACTGAGGTGGAGGCCAGCCTCACGCAGTCTCCCAGGGTTAGCAGAGATGCCCAGTCTCCAGCCCCTCCACTCTCCCAGGCATCAGACCCAACTATATTCCCTCTCTGCTCAGCCTCCCTTCGTGGAGTCCACCCCAGAACAGGCAAGAAGAGGACAAGGTAAGAAGAGGCCAGGACTGCAGGGATCAGAAATGAGCCAGTCCTGGTCCCCATGGCCAAGGGCAAGGGTGCGGGGAGGCCTCCAGAACTCCAAGGGTCCTCCTGTTCTTCACCCCAGCACTCCTCCCCCATGGGCCAGCAGTGGGCCAGCTCCTCCCCACACCCCCTCCTGCGTACACCCCCTGTGCCTATTGTACCTCATTCCTTTTTTGCTGTCACCGCTGACAGCTGAATCAGAGAAGTGGGAGGAAGAGAGAGGATGGGATTGCGGCTTCGGGGGCCGGGAAGGGAAGGGTGTTGGAATGTCACAGGGTAAAAGGAGACTCGCAGCAGCGAGCATGAACCGATTTGGCTGCTGGTCAGCAGGGGGCCTGCGGAGGCCAGGTAGGGATGGGGGGGCAGTGGAGTCTTGGGCTCGGGGGCCAAGCCCCAGGCATCCAGGCGCCCCAGCAGCAAGGAAGATATGGGAGACCCCTGGTGTGAGGGCCCAAGACGGTCCATTATCTGTAAGTCTTCTGAGCAGATGTCAGGGTTCTGGGAGGAGGTCTGGAGGGGGCTGGGGGCCACAGACCCACCCACAAGCTCTCTCCAACCTACTTCCGGGTTGGTTGTCCCCCTCTCAGATCAGAGGCAGCTGAGAGCTGGGGTGTGGCTCAGGGCCTGGGGGGTCCCTTCTGGGCCTTTGTGCAACAGTTTTCCCAAGTCCTGTCATCCCCCACCCACTCCTCATCTGTGCTACCCTGCGTTGGGAACACACGGCCTGCTCCTGACCGTGAATCCCAAGACTTGAAGGGACCAGGGTTTCCAGGGCAAGGGCACTGAGGCTGAAGCAGTCTCTGACCACAGTCAGCTTAAGCAGGAGCAACCTGGGGTGCTTGGAGGGACCTCAAGGAGCTAGGGGTCAGCTGAGCTCTGCCCCAGAGGAGAAGCCAGCAGACAGGAAGCGGGTTCAGGAGCTAGGAGAATTGTGGTGGCCCGGAATGGTCCAGCCCCTCATCCATCCCTGGGGAGCAGGTCTTGGAGCCATGGCTAAGGAGCTGGGACACTGCCAGCCTACCCCGGAGGGCACAGACAGAGGCACCCGACCCCTGGTGGCAGCCGGAGGCACAGGAGGGCAGCAGGCAGCTGGGGTGTGCGTGGGTGGCAGCAAGGAGGGGCGGAGGGAGGAAGCTGGCTTCCTGAAGCCTCCTCAGCCCTCAAAGACAGACCAACAGACAGACAGACAGCTGGCAAGAGGCAGCCTGGGGGACACAGCTGCTTCAGTAAGTACTTGTTTGGGGGGAGGAGCGGTGCTGTGGCCCTGGGGTGGTGTGAACCCTGGGGAGAGGGGAGGGCATCTCCCAGGAGGAGGTGTGAGAAGGACGTTGGGCGCTGCACTGCCTGGCTGGGGCCCAGTGCTGACCTAGCTGGCATCCCCAGGGGGCAAGCAAGGGAGCTGCAGGGAGCTGCAAGGAGAGCTAAGGCTAAGGAACCCCCTCCTGCTGCTGGAGAACCTCTCCCTGCCACCCACCTCTGCATGGGCCGCTCCGTGCCCCTCACCTCTGTCCCTGCGGGCTTGGCAGTGCTAATGCCGCCCCCCTACACACACACCTCGGAAGCTGTGACCCTGGGTCCAGAAGATGGGGACTGCCCCCCAAGAGGAGATGGCCCCACCACCTCTGTGCCCCGTCTCGTGCCCCCAGCTGTCGTCCCATCATGCACTGTCGCTCAAGGCTTGGTGAGGCCATTTCCTGTGACAGTTACAGAGGCGGGAGATGGGGGATGGGCAGAGGAGGAAGGAAGCACCCCCAGCCTACCTCCCTGGACAGAGACCCCAGAAGCCAGAAATGAACTTGGGAATGGGACTGCCAGCAGTTAGGAGAGGGTCCTGCTGGGAGCCAGCAGCCGCATGCCGGGGTCCCCAACTGGCTCCAGCGCCGCCAGAGGCCTCCAATTGCTCATTCAGACAAGGTACATTGGTTAGACTCAGAAGTGGTTTCTGTGAGCTCTCTCCCTTCCTCCTGCACAGAACGCCTGTATTTTCTATTTCCTCCCTTGCCTTTTCTCACTTGGGCCCCCAACATAGAGCCTGTGCACTTCGGGCTCAGGCCAACCCTTCTCCTTTCTCCCCCTCCTACTGGATTCTCCCATCTGCACCCACAATCCCTGCCCTTATCTTACCTTTATGCTAATCCCAACTTCCTTGCCACTCTGGGTCCCACCAGAGAAATCCTGTCCTTCCCATGGTGAAAAAGGGCACAGTCTCTGGGGAAACAAGGGACACCCCCAGAGGTGCCACAGGGCAGAAAGCTGGCCAGTCAGCCAGGCTGGAGTGAGCAGATGAAGGACCCTGTCTTTCAGGTGACCCTCATGGCTGAGTGAGCCTCCCCTGGGCCCAGCACCCAGCCCAGCATGGTCCAGGACTGTGGCGGACGCTCCAGAGCACAACTGCCGACCTCACCCTTGGGGGCAGCCATGACCCAGCCTCCCCCCGCCAAAGCACCAGCCAAGAAGCATGTTCGGCTGCAGGAGAGGTGAGATCATTCCCGGGAGAGGGCGTCTGTCCTGAGCACCGCCATCCTGCCACCATCTGCCCCTCCAGCTCTGGCTGCTGAGCCCAGAAGGCCTAGATGTTGATCCCAACCTGGGAAGGAAACCCAATGAGCTCCTTTGCATGTCATTTGCATGCCTTTTACATGTCTGGGGCACAAAACATTTTGTCAGCCTTGTGCCTGCTCCCCAAGCCTGGGCTGGGTTAAGCAACCCCTGGGACAGAGCTAGGGGCAGTTTGGATGTAGGGGGGAACTTTAGAGGACAGGGCAGGGACAGAAACAGTGGGCAACTGCAAGGAGCAGTGGGGGTTCAAGTTTGTCCTGTTCTGCCTGACGGGGAGAGAAGGGTGTGCAGCAGGGGTCTGAGCCCTTGAATTCACTGGTTGGGCCTCTGGGTCAAGAGCACAACAAAGAGCGGCCTCTCCTGTCTGCACTGTAACAACCAGAATTGTGCAAGCAGTCAAGTTCATGGACACTCACTGGGCTCTGTTTGTGCCTCAGGCGGGGCTCCAACGTGGCTCTGATGCTGGACGTGCGCTCGCTGGGGACCGTGGAGCCCATCTGCTCAGTGAACACACCCCGGGAGGTCACCCTACACTTTCTACGCACAGCTGGACACCCCCTCACCCGCTGGGCCCTGCAGCACCAGCCACCCAGCCCCAAGCAGCTGGAAGAGGAATTCTTGGTAAGAACTTGGAGTCCCCACTGAGTCACTCTGCTTTTCTGGTGCCACCCTCTCCTGGGCAGTGGGCATGTCTTCTCTGTGGGTACTAAGGAAAGAGCACCCCACGAACCAGGGAGGAGACTACCCTGTGCTGCCTCGTTTGCCCCACACCCACCCAGACCCACACTCGGGTGCCAGGAAGGATGACCAGGGCCAACACTGCTGGGAAGGGTGGAAAGGAAAATGGACCTAGAAAGGGGGTCAGCTGTTTACTGGCTTCCTCTCCCTGTTAGAAGATCCCCTCAAATTTTATCAACTCCGAAGACCTGGACATCCCCGGCCATGCCTCCAAGGACCGGTACAAGACCATCTTGCCAAGTAAGGATGGCAGTGGGGTCGAGGGAGGTGGGGCCGCCTTGCCGCGGGGACACCGAGCAGGCTTCACAGCCCTGGGCAGGAAGAGCTAGTTCCTTCAGCAGAGGAATGAGTGTGGCCATTCCACAGTAACACAACTCACATTTCCACACTGACTGTGGGTCGCGCATGGCTCCGAGTCCTTGATATTAACGCATTTTTGAAACCACCCTACGAAGCTGGTGCAGGGGCATTCTAATGCCGTTTTATAATGAGGAAACCAAGAATCAGAGATCAGAGAAGTTGTGCAATTTGCTCAAGTTCACACAGCTAGTTACCATAAATTGTCTTCCTCCTCATGTCCACATGTGGGAAACACCCTGCGGATGGTCGCGGTGGAAGTGGTACCTTCAGGGTGGTGCCCAGAGAGAGGTTTTGAGAAACTCAGATGGAGGCAGAAAAGTGATTGGCGAGAGCAGAACGGGGCTGGAGATGGAGGTCACGAGGCCAAAGAGGCTGACCTGCAAGCTCCTGATTTTGAGAAACAGGCCTGGGGGCCACACTCATGGACTCTTTGGAGACCCCTCCTCTGACCATGGCCAACCCAACCCCAGAAAGTCCTAGTCTCGAGGCCTTAGCTCACTGTTTCTGCCCATTCTTTATTTTCTTAAATGTAGATTATAGTTCAATGAAGCTGTCACCAATACAAAAGGAAATGTGGTTTGTAATTATATTATTTCATTACTTATTTTTTAATTTAAACTATTTCATTATTTTCCTATTATTGGACCTCTAGGTTTTTAGTTACTTGTTTGGAATTTCATTAAGTCTCAGGTGCCCTAAACTAGAACATACAATTGTTTTATATACCAATTAAACTTTGATAAGATACAGCTCATCAATTAGATATTCCATTTTATCTGTATTCTTTTTGTTCTATAATGTGGTTTGTAAAGAGCTTTTTTTTTCTTTTCTCCCCCACCACCATCCTGTGTCTCCTGTCCCTTTCCCTTCTCCCTCCCTCCTGCCCTTAGGGCCCTCAGGATGTTTTATTTTTTCCTTATTGAAAACAAATTTTTTTTTAGGTCACATTGGTTTACATTATTGTTTGTATTTCGGAAGTGCAGGATCCCCTTCTAGCGCAGTTACCACAGTCCTCCCACCACCAAAGCACCACAGTCCACCAGCACAGTCCATTGTGCTCCCTCCCCTTGTGCTCACCCTCCTGCTCCCTTCCCTTCCCCCCGTGTCTCAGTTGCAAAGTCTTCTTTCAAGGGCTAGTTTTTCAGTCTGGTTTTATCTGACCCTTTGGTTTCTCTATGTTCTACATAATAGTGACACCATCAAGCCTCATTTGGCTTACCATAATTCCTTCCAGCTCCATCCATGTTGCTATAAATGGCATGAGTTTATCTTTTTTGATCGCTGAGTAGTATTCCACTGTGTACCTAGACCACATCTTCCTGATCCACTCATCTGGTTTTGGGCACTCAGGTTGTTTCCATAGCTCAGCTATTGTAAATAGTGTTGCAATGAACATGGGAGGGCAGGTTTCCCTTTGAACTGGTGTATTCATGTCCAGGTAGATGCCTGGGAGTGGAATTGCTGAGTTTGATGGCAGATTTATTTTTAATCTCTTGAGAAACCTCCATACTGCTTTCCCTAGGGGCTGGAAAGTTTACATTCCTACCAGCAGTGTGGGAGAGCTCTTTTTTCTCCACATCCTCATCAGCACTTGTTTATGGTCTTTTTGATATGGGTCGTTCCCATTGGTGTGAAGTGGTATCTCATTGTGGTTTTGATTTGCATTTCCCTGATAATAAGTGATAACGAGCATTTTTTTCATGAGCCTCTTGGCTATCTGTGTATCTTTTGAGAACTGCCTATTTAGCTCTTCTGCCCATTTGTTGATTGGGTTATTTGTTTTCTTGGTAGATCTTTGATATTAGCCTTTTGTCAGATGTATGGTGTAAAAATATTTTTCCCATTCCATTGGGCGTCTTTTTGTCTTAGTTACCATTTCTCTCACTGTGCAGAAGCTTTGTAGATTGATGTAGTCCCAGGTGTTTACGTTCTCTTTTTGTTTCCCTTGCTGTTGGAGACATATCTGCGAAGACATCACTGGAGCCTATGTCGAGAAGTGTTCTGTTTTCTTCTATGGAATTTGTGGTTTCAGTCTTACGTCCGAGGTGTATCCATTTCGAGCTTCATTCTTTTGCATGTGGAGGTCTGGTTTTCCCAACTCCACTGACTGAACAGAATTTTTTTGAAGTGCACTAGTTTTTTTAAAGTCTTTGAGCTGGTGTATTCATGTCTGGGCAGATGCCTAGGAGTGGAATTGCTGGCTTTATCTTTTTTTGATCACTGAGTAGTATTCCACTGTGTACCTAGACCACATCTTCCTGATCCACTCATCTGGTTTTGGGCACTTAGGTTGTTTCCATAGGGGAAATGGAATTGCTCCCCATAGAGGAGTGGAATTGCTGTTTGCTATATGAATGTCCAATGTTTGTTTTTATTATTCTGACTTAGCTTTGCTACATATAATTTTCTCAAATTCCCTCCATTGTGTTAAAAATGACTGTGCTACACTCTTTCTTATGGCTGTATAATACTCCACTGTACATTGTACCACATCTGCTCCTGTCCGTTTCAACCCTCCCAGTGTCTAGTGCTCTGCCTGCATGGGTGGGTAGAGATTGTTAGCACTCATCAAGGGGACTGGGGAGCAGTCCTTTGCCTCATTCTAGCTAGCCCCAAAGCTACCAAAGAGAAGTCTGTGTGCCTGGGATTCTCTGGCATCCAGGATACTCTCTTCCAAGAAGCATGCTGGCTCTGGAAAAGGGAATCTTCTCTCCTTTCCTCATAAACTAGCCTCTCATCCTTGCTTGGATTTAGTGTGGAGAAAACCTCTCCCCTAGAGGGAGATGAGGACACCCCCAGTGGCAGAATGAAACTTGGGTTCTAGACCCACTTCGGGATGATTTTAATCATGCATTTGCCATCAGAAAGTCTTCCTCCGTGGCTTCTTTCTTCATTCCTATCAATTCAATCCAGTTCTACATCTACATTGATCTCAAGGCTATTGATCGCCCTCTCCTGCCACTATGTCTCTGCTGCTCCCTGCTTTTTCCTTGTTAGTGCATCTTAAGCAACTCCGCCCAGTTAACCCAAGCCAAATTGTTGCTCTGAGCATGTCACTCTATTGCTGAGAGCATTCTGTGGCTTCCTTTTGCCTACATGTAATAATTCAATGGGTGTTCAGCCACTTGCTAGACTCAGGTACTGAGATAAGCACAGGAAGCTCCTCTATCTGGCCTCATTGGAGTCTGCATTAGTTGGTCACCATTTGACCTCTGACTTCTGCTGATTTTGACCTTTGACCTCTGCTGATTTTCACTTCCTAGATCCCCAGAGTCGGGTCTGTCTTGGTCGGGCACAGAGCCAAGAGGACGGAGACTACATCAATGCCAACTACATCCGAGTGAGTGGCCTGGCAGCGAAGGAGTTGGGGTGGGGCTGTGTTTAAAGAGGTCCCCAAAGAATACCTCTGGCTAGTGGTCCAGGAGCCTGGGTCTCCCTGCTGCGAGTCCGGGCCTTACCAAGCTGGGTCAGACAATGAACCAATCTAGACACCAAGACACCAACCTTCAAGACAGAGATGATGTTAATGCTGAGAAGGAGGGGTCACAGAGTCCCCTTAACCTACCCATCACTCATCCCTGCCTGTCCTCTAAACTTGACAGGAAGTTGGCATTTTGAACCCGATCCCTAGCTTCTTGCCAGCTAGTTGATCCAGAGGTCTGCATGGGTGGCACCAGCACAAATGCAAGCTACCCACTGTCTCCTCATTCACTACATTAAGTTTTAACACCCCTTCCCCTAACAAGCCCTCCTTTGTGGAGATAGACATCCAGCTTGGAGCTGCGCTCTAATCCCCTTCCCACCTCTGCTGACCCTAAGTAAATGCAGCGCCCTCTATTGGCTCAAGCTGGGTAGGTCCATGGTCGGTGGGGCAGAGGTGAAAATGTCAGGCCTATACCCTGGGGAAGCACCTCCCCCTTGCCCACAGCAACCAGGGTGAGCAGTGGTCTGGATTTCACCATCATCTTGGGGAACAGGAAGCTGAGGACCCTGAAGGGGAGAATGAAAGACTCTCAAGAGTGAGCTCCATCTTGTTTCTAAATATTTAAAAGTGATATGTAAAAGTAAAACAGGCATTTAACAGATACTGAACACTGTTATTTTGTGAGGAAGCAGCAGATGAGGAAGGAAACAACATTTCAGGCTCTTAAAATGCTTTGTTGAATTTAATGCACAAGGGACAGGGTAGATAGTATCACCCCCAACTTGCAGGTGAGAGGACAGAGGCTTGCAGGAGCCTAGGTAATTTGTTTGTGGCAGCACAGCCAGTAAAGTTAGGCACAACTGGGAATTTGAACCCAGATATGCCTCACTTCAGAGCCCCTGTCCCTTCTACCAGAGACTTCTGGTGCGCCTGCGCCTGGTGTGTCTGTGCGTTTACTCCTTCAGCCTGAGCGAGGACCTGCAGAGCTTGGGAGTTCCCCAGAGCCCTGCTCTCACTGCTTCCCACCCATGGGTGCCTCCACTTCCCAGGGCTATGATGGGCAGGAGAAGGTCTACATTGCCACCCAGGGCCCCATGCCCAACACCGTGTCGGACTTCTGGGAGATGGTGTGGCAGGAGGATGTGTCACTCATCATCATGCTCACTCAGCTCCGAGAGGGCAAGGAGGTAGGAGGCAGGCCTTGGTGGTCCCAGAAAGGGCTCCTCTCCCCCACCACACATATACCTGCCCCCACTAGGGCAACTCAGGACCAGGGTTCCCCTGGGAGCTGAGACTATAGCCAAGCCCAGCTTGCACCCATCAAAGAGTACCTGAGATAACATACTCCACAGCAGGAATGGAGGGTGGGGAGCTCTTCATCTGCAGGTGCCAGTTCAAAAGAGCCCAGCCCAGGTGCGCCCCAGGCTATGCCCAGCCCTTCCAGTGGGGGTGAGAGGTGGGAAAGGGATCCCACTTCTCTTCCTGCTGCCTCAGCCCTGCTCAGCTGATAGGCCCTTCCCCCTCTGACTCCCAGCTCCCTGCCTTCTAGAAATGTGTCCACTACTGGCCAACAGAAGAGGAAACCTATGGGCCCTTCCAGATTCGAATTCAAGAGGTGAAGGAGCGCGCAGAATACACGGTGCGGCAGCTCACCATCCAGGTACGGGCTCTTGTAGGGCTGGTGCTGGGGTGGGTGCCGCTCCCAGTGTCTCTGGAACTCAGGCCTGACTTTCACTGGGACCCAAGCTCTGCTCATCTAGACCTTCTTGGGCCCACAAGAGCCTAAGGCGTAAAAGAAAGAAACATGGGTTCAGTCTTCAGGGGGCCTCTTGCCTCATAGAGTCGAACCAACAAACCAAATAGGCCCCCACCAGAAAGCCTGTTCATTTATGCTGAATGGAAAGCAGAGGTGGGGCCCTGGAGGCCCGCGGAGGGGACCCCAGGAGGTGCAAGAGATGGAAAGTAACACATGTTAAAAGAGCTTTCAGATTGTTTTCTGTTATTGCTCAGTGGCTTGTACCTTTCAAAACATTTCTCGGCCAACTCATTATCCTCCGAGCATTATGGGAAGTAAATCAACACAATCTCACTGTCTCCATTTTCTTGGTGAAGAAAATGAGTCTGAGTTTTACCCAGAGTCATGCTAGTTAGAGGCAGAGCCAAGCCTTGACCTGGGTCCTCCCCGCTCCTGAGACAGTGCTCCTTCCAGAGTTTCAGAGGAGGGGGCAGTGGAGTGTGAAGAACAGAAAGAGTCGGCTTTGGAGTCTGTGACTAGCCTGAGGGGTGATTCTAGCCCTTGCACTCCTCTGGCACCAGAGAAGAAGGCAGCGCCCCCTCCTGACTCTGGTTCTCATGCTGGTCCCCCCAGCACCAGCAGGAGTGCAGGGCCGTGAAGCACGTGCTCTTCTCAGCGTGGCCTGACCACCAGACCCCAGAGTCAGCTGGGCCCCTGCTGCGCCTGGTGGCTGAGGTGGAGGAGAGCCCAGAGACAGCTGTCAACTCCGGGCCCATTGTGGTGCACTGCAGGTATGCGGCCCTCCCCCACGGCAGCTCTGGGCCCGCTTCCCTTCCACTGGGTGTCTCCTGGCAGGGGCTAAAGCAGAGCACAGCAGACCCTTCTCACCTGGACAGGAATCTCTAGGCCATTCAGCCCCTGCCCTGTTCTTGCACCCTCCTCATGCAGCACCTGGGCTGATGTGGACCCCCAAAGGGGAGGGGACCTAATATCTGGAAGTTCCCAGGCCTCTGTGGGAGGAGGTAGCAGACTGCCTGCCACTCATTTATTCATTCAGCAAATGTCTGCTGAAGACCCATGCCAGGAACAGTGTTAGGCACTAAGGAAACAGCCATGAATGAGACCGTTTGGCTTCTGCCCTGATAGGCTGACCATATGATGGGAAAGCCAGCAGGTTAAACAATTAAACACAAGGCATATGGAGAGCTGTGATGGAGGTGTTTGGGGAGCACAGGTCCAAGTTGCCTAGTGCAGCCTAGGCCAAACAGAGAACGTTTTCTGGGAGAAAGGACTTCTCAGCTAAGCTAAGACCTGAAAGGTGAGTTAACCAAGCAAAGAGGGAAAGGAGAGGTGCTCCAGCAGAGGGAACAGCAGGTACAAAGGCACAGAGTTGAACTTAACCGAGATGCATTGTCAGGAGCAGAGTTAGAAGCAGAGGGAGCCGAAGGTCATGGGGGGTTAGAAATGAGAGCTGATTCTGGAAGGTAAGTGCAGGCCAGATGATGAGGGGCCTCGTAGGACTGACTTAGAAATTTGGACTTGCCATTTATAAAGAAGACTGTGGCTACAGAGTAAAAAGTGGGTGGAGTGAGAGCCACGCAGAAGGCAAGCTAAAAAGAAGGAAACCTTTTGGGTACAAGGGCAGGGTGGAGAGAAGTGTAGGAGGGAGCCGAGGTAGGAAGTGTCTGTAGCTGGGAGGAATCAGCGTGGGTAAGGGGGAGTCCAGGGCAGCCAGCCCAGTGTGACCCCTGTTAGCTGGAAACCCCTGTGGACAGCAAGCAGAAGGGAGTGTATCAAAATGTCCACAGGAACTGCAGGGTGACCAGGAGATTTAGGGTGACAGTAAAAAGAGGCAGCATCCCTGACCACAACACCCCGTTAGTTCCTGTTGCTTCCTCTCTGGTTTGGGACCCATCCCCATGGCTCCTGGTCACCTGACCCCGTGTTCCCCACTCTCCCGGCCATTATGCTCCCTGGTCCTCAACACTTCCCTGGCTTTCCTCAGTGCAGGGATTGGCCGCACTGGCTGCTTCATCGCCACCCGGATCGGCTGTCAGCAGCTGAAAGCCCGTGGGGAAGTGGACATCCTGGGCATCGTGTGCCAACTGCGACTGGACAGGTGGGTCCATGGGTACAACAGGACCAACAAGGTTAAGAATGGCAAAGACGCCACTAGCGTCCGAGGGCACACAGGCATGTCACCGTCAGCACTTCCTGTGAGAAAGGAAGGGGCCCCTTCTGCGTAAGAGCTGTTTATTTTGAAACTAACACCCAGGAAAGACTCTCTGTCTAGAATGTTGGCTTGGAGGCCTAGAACCAATTCTGCTACCCTATCTATTTACCCTGAACTTTCTGTCTTTTTCAGTTTTGTTTTTCCAAATTCCCTACTGAGGGGAAAGGAGGGGAACAGAGTCCAGCGGGTTCTGGGTACAGGCAGGCATGGGGTTGGAGACAGACAACCCAGGGGGAATTCTGTGGGCCTGTGAGCTGTTGTTTTCTTCTTGTGCCCTTGGCTTCTTGGTCAAGAGCTGTGACAAGGAACAGATTAACTGATAAGACAGCGTTTGGGGAACATGAGACCCTACCTTACAAATATGTGGAATTATTATTTTACTTTTAAGATTATTGGGAAGAGGCTTGGGGAACTGGGGCTGAGGAGTGTGGCCTGAGGAATTAGGAAACCTATTTGCCCCCAGAACTGAGGAGTCAGCGTGGGGCCCCTCTTCCTGGGCACAACCAACCAGGGGGCTTGGCCCTGAGTGAGGGGCAGAGGGCGTCCCCTCACAGAGCAGGTGTGGCCGGCTGCCAGCACCTGGATGAATATGTGTGAAGGAATGACAGGTTCTTCCGGAAAGTCAATCTCTCCTGTAGGATGACAAAGACACTGGTCCTGAGATATCAGCTTTCTGCCCTGCCTTGCTCACCTTCTTGTGCTTCTCCTCACAGGGGGGGGATGATCCAGACCTCGGAGCAGTACCAGTTCCTGCACCACACCTTGGCCCTGTACGCGGCCCAGCTGCCAGAGGAGCCCGGCCCCTAACCCCTCCCACCCTCCACCAAGTGCCAACTTCCCCTCAGGTCTGGGAACATGGGTCTGGGCCAAGTGGGTTTTGTGATCTGGGGTCCCCATGGGCATGGGGGTACCCCTCAGTGAGAGCCATCACAAGAAGCTGCACCTGCCAGATCAGGGCCAAATTCAGGTCACCATCAGCCACCCCTCTGCTCCTGCTAGTCACCTCAGATGAACACTGGGGGGACCTCCCACATCCCTCCAGACTTAAAAAGGGGAGCTGGCACTTACAACAGGTCTGAGAAAGACCCACGTGTCCCAGTCTCTCTCAAATGCTCTGTGAGTTCCAGCCTCCCATCTATGACACAGACATTAGCTACAACAGAAGTTCCTAGAAGTTGTTCCAACAGTACCCTCTTCTGAGGCTGGCAAGAGAGTGATCCCAAAGTCATCCACTTGCAGGCCCTGCCCAAGCACAGGCCAGATGCTAAAGCTGGTCTTCACCTTGGCCAAGTTCTCAACACTCTGCAGTGACTCACTGCTTCCTCACCCCACATTTTTGAGGGTTGCATACCCCTCATAGAGACCAAGGACCAGACTACCCCTGTGCCCACACATGTGCTGGGGATAAGCTACAGAGCTGACAAGGCCAGGAAGTTAAAATCTGCAGGAGAGGGAAACGTGAGGACCCCCCAAAGGTCCAAAGAGTGGGTCCCACCTTCATAATTGCCAGCCACTCACCCTGGCTACTTCATAGGGAGGCCCCACATCATCTGTCCTGCTTCCTGAAGACATCCTGGATATCCTGAATTTTTGAAGAGAGGAAAATCAAATCTACCTTTGAAAAGAGATCGAACTGATTTTAAATAGCCAGTCCCCATCTCTGCCCTCCAGCCCTCCATTTGCAGAGTATGCCCAGAGACTTTGGGGCTTTCCAAAACAATCTGGGCTAAAACACTCCATACAGACCCAGGGACTCAGACTGAATTGGGACCCTCGCAGTCTACCCAGCTAACTCAGCTCAAACACCCTGGCATCCTCACAAGTTCCAGGGCACCCCAGATCTCTCTCAGGGCCAACTCCCACACTGCAGAAAGACATCAGGTCCTTGAATCCAAGGTAGAAGGCACCATCTCTCCTGGAACTCAGCCAGGGGTCCATCTTTGCTGATGCCAAGGAGGAAACCCCCAAGAAACTGGACCTTGGAGAACAGCTGGGCCTTCTCATTCATCACCTCTGCTGAAGACCTACAGCCTTGACACTGAGATCAATTTTCTTCTTGCTTCTGCTTGGCCTTACTGAGAAATGCTCCTTCCTTCCAGCTCTGGGAATGGGCTCACCTGTACCTGCACCTTTCCTAACCTGTAGGAGAGGCAACCACTGTTGTGCCTGGAAGCTGGGCGGAGAGCTCTCAAGTGCCTGTCTGCCCTGAGCTCAGAGCCAGCCAGGAGGGGAGAGGCGGCTTGGGCTTGAGGGTTCCCCTCCCTGGCACTGCTGCCCCAATCCTGGTCCAGAACTTAGAGGATACAAGGTCTGGAGAAGTAACCAAATGGGAGAATAAAGACTTCTTCATCTTCTCTGGCCTCTGGGGCCTCTTTCTAGAAATAGTTCTGTAGAGTAGGAACAGGCTGCAGCTCTCCATCCTGGATATGAGCTTTTCCTGCACTGCTAGGGACACGCAGAACAAAGAGATACCAGAAGCCATTTAGGAAATGGGGAAGAAGGGAAACTTAGGAGCTGCAGAGGGATTTATAAAGGGCAGAGAACTAGAAAGACAACACAAAATAACCCAAAATAGTGTGCAGTGTCAAGATTTTATGACCCCTCCACTTTGGTTACTGCTTAATCATTTGGGATCGTGATATGGTTGATATTAACAGTTTATGCATCTTTTAAAAAAGATTTATTTATTTATGCATGCACGCATGCATACAAGAGCTGGGGTACAGGCCAGAGGTGTGAGAGGATTCACCAGAGACAGAGCGGGGAACAGAGCAGGCAGACTGACTAAAATACACTGCTGAGGGGAGCAGTGGGCCAGACAGGAGAGGTCTGCTGCACAATGTGGGTATCTCCCTGGTTGGGGATCAAACTTGAGCTGCAGAGGCTGCTGATTGCTTCATAGGTTGCGTCTTAACCCCTTGCGCCACCAGGGAGGTCAGTTTATGCATCTTGACTAAAATAATAAACTTTGTGTCAGCACATCTGAAAAACAGTTACTAAGGGCCCCCACACGGGCCCCACAGGCCTTGCCTGCAGCCTGGACAGCCCAGCCAGGGTGCCTGCGGCCCAGGGGCGCTTCCTTCCAGGCAGGAAAGGAGGCGCGTCCCAGCAGACCCTGCACCTGCGTCCTCCTGAAGAAAACTTGGGTTGTTTTTTGTTTTTGTTTTTTTTTTACCAAAACAGGCCAACTTTGCCCTAGCCAGGGCTTTCTCGGTGGACACACGCAGACTCTCATCTGTGTCAGCGCCACGGCGATCGCCGTGGAAATCCGCGTCCCCTCAGACACCCGGCGGGCTCGGGGCCGGGCTCCCCCGCGCGGGCCGGCACGCGGGCTGGAGGCGAGGCGGAGAGTCCCGGCGCCCGGGTCGGGCTCGCCCCGCTCCCGGCGGGCGTCTGGGGAGGGGGCCCCGCGGCCCCAGAGGGCCTGGGAGCGAGACCCGGGGGCGCCAAAGCCCCGTCTGCGCCTTCCCGGGCCCGCGCCTCGGCGTCCCGCGCGCGCCCGGCCTGCCGGCCGCGGGGTCGGGGGCCCTCCGGGGAGGCGGGGCGCGGCGCCGGGCGGCCGGGAGGCGAGGAAAGCGCGACGCGGTTCCCCGCGCGGCCCCGCTCGCGCGGCCCCAGGCGACCGGCACCCCCGCCGCGGGCGCGGGCCCAGCCGGGACGAGGGGCCGCGCGCTCCGGCGCCAGCGGGACGCGGCCCGCGCGCTAGGGCGGCGGCGGCGGCGGCGGCGGCGGAGGCGGAGGCCGGGGCGCGGCGCGGGCCGAGGCCACGCCCACCGGCGCCGGAGCGGGGCAGGAGCCGTCGGCCGCCGCGCTCAGCCGCCGCCCCACCGAGCCGCGGGACCCGGGCCGCAGCGGGGAGGCCGCGCGGGGCCGCAGCGCGAGGGCAGCAGGCGGCGGGAGCCGGCGCCGGGCGGGGCCGGCGGCAGCGACCATGATCGCTTTGTTCAACAAGCTGCTGGACTGGTTCAAGGCCCTGTTCTGGAAGGAGGAGATGGAGCTCACGCTGGTCGGGCTGCAGTACTCGGGCAAGACCACCTTCGTCAACGTGATCGCGGTGCGCGGCCGGCGCCGCCTGGCTGGGCCGGGGGGCGGGCGGGGGGCGGGCGGCGGCCGCGCGCTCGGGGCCTAGCACGGCCGCGGGGACCGGCCGGCCGGCGCGGCGGGGGACGCGGGGGGGCGCGGGGCGAGGCGGCGCCCCGGACGCGCGGCCCCGAGGGGTCGCGAGGCGGGCGGGACCCGCCGCCCCCGGAGCCAGGCCCTCCGGGCCGCGCGGGGGCCATGACGGGGCGAAAGCGCGCGGCCCGCCTGGCCCGGCCCGGCCCGGCCCGGCCCGGCCCGCGTGAGAGGCAGCCGGACAGGGCGGCGGGGGCCCCGGGAGGGGGCCAGCGCGGGCCCAGCCCCACCCTGGGGGTGAGCCCCTCCCGCAGCGAGAGGAAGCCGGGGTGCTCGTGCGGGGGAGGGGAAGTGTCCCCTGGGGCAGTGGAATCGGCTGAGGTCCTTGGCTGGAGGAGACTCCTCCTCCGCGCGGAGCAGCTCTCCCTGGCTAGGGCTACAGGGGTCCAGGGAGGAGGGCGGCGTGAAGGGAGTTTGGAGTCCCCGCCTGGCTCTGAAGTTGCTGGTGGCGGCGCTCTGGCCGGCCCGGGGATGAGTTGAAGGGGCCCTGCCCATCAGGGGGCAAGGGAGAGAGTGGTCCTGCAGGCTTTGGGCCAGTCTCGACTGAGCTGGACTGAGCTGGACCTTTGTATTTTCGGTGCCAGCGGAGTGGTGGGGAAGGAGTTAAAATCACTGTCAAAAAAAAAAAAAAAAAGGGAAGATGAGCTCTAAGCTCTCTGGGTGTGTGAGCTGAGGCTGCAGTAATGGCTGCGGCCTGTGTTTCAGAGCCTGGCTGCACTGGGCTTAGGGGACCAGGGAAGGCTTGGGGCCCTGTCCCCCGTCTCCACATCGAGGTTTCTGAGACTTGTGGGTTGACCAGATATTGGCAGAAAATGCTGATGAGGTGGGTCAGCAAAGAAGCGTGGGCAGCCAGCCTGGTGCCTGCACCTGCCTGTGTTGTGGTCCATGCAAAAGATGGGCCTCCCTCATAGCTCTGGGCATCCCAGAAGTGAGCCCTGCCCGAGGCAGGAGGGGCAGGTACACCATGACCTCATGTGTGGGCACTGGCTTCCTTTCCCAAATATGCTTTGTTCACATTTGACCTCTGCCCCTTCCTCCACCCACTTCTCCTGGCTCCTGGTCTGTCAGGGCAGTATCTTCAGGCCCTGCTGGGTTTCTCAGTAGGATGGTTTCTGAGCCCCTGGAATTCTGTCTGCCCAGGCTCTGACCCTCGAGTCAGAGACCCCTTGGCTAGACTTAGCACTGACTCGGGCTCTCAGGCTCCTTGGGCAGACTGGACTGTGAGCCTGCTCTGCAAGCCTGGGCAGCATGGCTTCTAGTCTTTAGATCTGGAAGAGGTCTCTGGGGTAAGGCCGAGGGGAGAAACAAGATGCTGCTGCTCCGATGGCTCTGCCCAGGTATCACCTCCTGCCCCCAGGGAAGTTGTCCTCATGCAGCATTTTTTTGAAACCCTGCTCCTGGACAGGGATCCCCAGGTACACAGGTGGGTCCTGTTTCCTGGAGGGTCTCCTCTCCACCAGCATCATAGCAAGAGTGGGTGGCTTTGGCAGGTCAGGAGCAGGATCTTAGCATCTTCAGGTCCACAGCCAGGTTTTCTGTGATGTGCAGGGTAAGTTCCCTCCCCCATCCCTGGAGAGCCCTTTTGATATTAAAGTTGTCACTTTAATGGGCACATTCTGAAAGTGCAAGCTAAATTTCCCTGGAAAGAGCTTCCCCAGGAAAACACCCTGTGAGCCTGGGGCTCCAGGTCAGGGTGTTGCCAGTGTTCCCAGAGCTTTCCTGCCCCTCCCCCTGGAATAATCATGGTAGGGCATCCTCCCCAGGGATGAAGAGTCTGGCACTGCTCAGGTCCCAGCCTGCCTCAGCCCACCTCAGCCCACCTCTGACTTGCAAGCACCTTTGCCTGTTGCTTTGGCCTGTTTGTCCCAACCTTCTTGCCATTCACTTTTTCCTCCTCCCTCTGTGAAGTCTGACGTCAGCAGGGACTGAGTTGCATGTCTCCAGCTGCTGCTGATGTGAACTGGGAACAAGAGATAGGCGCTGTCCGAGTAGGCCTCTAAATCCGCTCATTAGGGTTCTGAAAAAGTGGTGGTGCTAGAAAAGTAGCTGAAGTTCCACCTGAGAGAAACGAGGGGTCATTGTCAAATATCTGAAAGGGTGAACATCAGCCCTCTGAAAGACCAGCTCTCGGGGCGCACCCCGGGTAGATAGACTTAGCAACAAGGGTGGGAGTTGCAGGAAGATGGGTCTTTGACTTACTCTGAGGAACCGAGAAAGCAGGGAAGGGGTTAGGGATGGGCGTCTGAGATCATAGGTTGGGCAATGACTTTAGGGTGCCTTCCAGCCTTGGGTGAGGCCTCTGGGGCCTGTGAGACCATGAGGCATCCCAGAGGGGAAAAAAAGTGTTGACCTGGTTCCCACTTGTGCTGATTCTCAGCTGAACTAGAAATACTAGCGCTGGGGGCTGCCTCCTAAAGGTCCTCCTGGTGCCCGCTCCCCAGAGTCCCATTCTGCCAGGCTGGACTTCCATTTACACGGGAGGCTGTGGGTCTTCCCGCTGCCAGACAGCAGTGTGGTTCCTCGTGTTCCCCCAGACTTCCAAGCACTGTGAGCCCGCACTGCGGGTCCCTCGGAAACCAAACCCCATTTTGTAGAAGGAAATCCTGAGGACCAGGGAGGTGTCTTGACCAGCTCCCTCATGATGAGGAATGATAAACAACAGCTGTGTGTCCTTCCTCACTCACTGTTCTTAATCAGCTGGGGTGGCCCTTAGCCCAGCGGTGCCCCACCCCACCCTGGCACCCCTCTGGGGTTTGGGTAACTGCACTGCACGTGGTTTTCCCTACTTAGCCAGAAGAGAGGCTCCCTAGGGACCCTCCCTTTCCACAGTGATTCCCAACTTTTAGGGGCTCTTGGACTCTTGCTCTGTGATAACAATGAGAAACACTTTACTCTGAAACAAAAATTTGCACACACAGGTTTTGTGCAGTTTCAGGGGTTCAGGCATTCTCTGAAGCCGTCTATGGCCCACAGGCCCCATGCGCTTACCCCACCCAGTCAGGGGCTTCAGTCTGTGAATTCAGTCCTCACAGCCTTCAAGGGCCTGGAGAGTGAGTTTGGGTGGTTTTTGCAAATAAAGGGGAATCAGTTCTCTTCCCTCTGATGAATCTCGGGGTCTCCATGGAGACTTGCAGGTTTGATCCCCCTCACCTTGGCCAGTGGTCAGCCCTTGACCTCTTTATGTGACCTGAGGCAAATTATTCCTCCCTCCTGGTGGTAGAGAAGGGTATGGCAGAGGAAAAAACACTCGGGTCACCCTCAGGTTCAAGGTTAAGTAGGCACCCCCATTTCCTTCAGCCTGCATCTGGGCATAGGAAGTGTGGGAGCTGGGGAACACGTGAACATGGAGATGACCTTGGAGAAGTTTGTCTATTTGAGGCTGTGACTAGGTTAGAACCATCTAGAGATCCTGGAGACAGTTTAGAGGGAGAAATGAAAGTTGTTAGAATGTGAAAGTGGCTCATAGGAAGTAGAATCACAGGGAACTTCTGATGTCCAGTAGACACTTACTAATGTTAACGGCAATGTGGGTTTTCTCCTGACAAGGTTCTCTGTCTGGTGGGGTGGGGCAGAAGTCAACAGCTGCTGCAGAATGTGGATTACCTAACAAATGGAGCATAGTGCAAATGAACCCAAACTGTGAATAGTCTAGCAATTGCTCACCTGGCATTGCATTTTGGGGTTGGCCGATTAACCTCCAAAAAATGGACTTAAATATTTGCTACATCTGCTGCCTTTGAGACCCCCTTAACTGTTTGCCATGAGCTTCCTGGGGTTCTTTTGCTGGGAGGTAACTGTTCTTCCTCTCCCCTGGAGACTTAATACAGAAAAGGGACTTCTGTTCCAACAGAGAAGTGTAGGCTAGAATTTTCTCAGTCTGGGTTGAGACACTGAGATTGCCTGAGGAAGATGGGCCACTTCATTACAGATCTCCAGTGTGGGGTGCACAGCTATTGGTTATGTCCCGGCCTGCTGGAAGCCAGGGAGATGCCTCCTTGTGAGCCCCTGAGGTGCGCCTGAGAACCCCTGGCCTGGCCTCTGCGTTACTTGAACAGCTCGATTGCCTGTGTCTGTCAGGGGGTGTCTGGGTCCTGTCAATTTTTGCCACTTTTCCAATCGTGACCCTTTCTTCCAGTCAGGACAGTTCAATGAGGACATGATCCCCACAGTGGGTTTCAACATGCGCAAAATCACCAAAGGGAATGTGACCATCAAGGTGAGTAGCGGCAAGGGGTGTGTGTGTGTACGGGTGTGCGCTCTCGCACACGCATGCATTGGGGGGTGGGGTGCAGAATTTGGGGGAGGGCACCTGAGGCCCTGGCAGGAGAAGCTAAGGGAAAGCAGAGGCTCGGCTCTGCTTGCTGGTCACCTGGGAAAGGTGGGCACAGATTCTGGGATGGGCCGGGGTGTGGGAGAGGAGCAGGCCTGGAGAGCAGAGGAACCCCTGGGGGAGGGGGGAGATGGAGGAATTAGGGTGGGGGAGGGGCCCTTGGGAGCCATGGTGGTCTAGTGGCCTGCCTGCTTCTGAGACCATCTCGCCCTCTTCCCTCTCAGCTCTGGGACATCGGGGGACAGCCCCGTTTCCGCAGCATGTGGGAGCGCTACTGCCGAGGAGTGAGTGCCATCGTGTAAGTGCAGGCGGGCAGGACCCCCCCTTGCTACCTGTGAGAACTCAGAGGCACAGAACCGGATCAGTCTTAATCTTCGGCTCAGGAGCTCGGGACACAGCGTCCCTGCCAGCTGCCTTACCCGCACATGCTGCTGGCACTGGCTTCCCCCAGCCCGTCTCTCAGAAGCAGAGCCACCACCAGCGTCCGTCCCTGTGCCTTCACCCCCTTGTCTCCCCACCCAGTCTCCACTGGCCTGAATTTCATGTGGCTTAATGGTGCATTGCCTTGCTTTTTAAAAATAATTTTAGCCTACATATATATGCCCAACAAACGGTTGTTTCATTTTCATTGTTTTTAACCGCATGTTTTTAAATGTGTCTTGCAGGAAGATCTGGAGATTCCTTGAGTTGTTCTGTTGTGTCGGTTTTTGCTGTTGTTGTTTTGTTTTTTTTTCCCCACTCAGCCTTATCTAGCCTTCCCATGAAACAAGAGGCTCATTTTGGGGAGAGTTATGGGGACCTAATCCCCATAGGCCCAAGCCACCTGAGTAACAGCTCCTCCAGAGCGCGACTTTGGGGTACAGGAGTCCCTGCAGCTTTTTACTCCCATGGGTTGAGAGCATTCATTGAGCCCCTCCCTGGCTTGAGCCAGGCCCAGGTGGCCTGTAAAGCCAGAGGTGGCCAAGCTGGAACTAGAGGCTTCTCCTCCAAGTAGCAGCTCTTTCTCTTCCTTCCTACCCCTCAGCCTGTGGGTTTCAACCTGCTTGTACCCCCCTGCCCTTCCCCCAGGTACATGGTGGATGCTGCTGACCAAGAGAAGATCGAGGCCTCCAAGAATGAGCTCCACAACCTGCTAGACAAACCGCAGCTGCAGGGCATCCCGGTCAGACATCATGGGGCGGGGAGGGCTCTCTGGGAAGTCATTTGGAGCGGGGGCAGAGGCAGGTGAGGGTCAGGCACTTGGAGGAGTGGGGAGAAGGGCGGGAGACCACGGAGGAGTGAGCTGGTCCCCTGACTACAGCTGCCCTGGACATAGGCCTTGTCCTCTCTTCTTCAGGTCTTAGTCCTGGGCAACAAGCGAGACCTCCCGGGAGCATTGGATGAAAAGGAACTGATTGAGAAGATGTGAGTTTATTGGCACTTCGCTGATTTCCTCCCTGCTCCCAAATTCCCCAGGCACCTACTGGCGCGGCCTTGCTGCTGCTCTCAGGAGTCGCCACACGGTGGCAGCAGAGCCCACCTGACCAGGAGCCTCACCCTCCCCACTGCAGCTCTTTGAGCAAGAGGGGGGACCACCCCTCACCCCAGACCAGCTGGACAGTCTCTGCCTCAACAGCTTCTATTTTGGTTTCTGTTCAGGAATCTGTCTGCCATCCAGGACCGAGAGATCTGCTGCTATTCCATCTCCTGCAAAGAAAAGGACAACATTGGTATGTGGCTTTGAGGGAGTTGCTGGCATTCCAGGAAGTAGGCACAGGGCAGGGGGAGGAGCAGGGAGGCATCACTGGGTGCTGTGGGTACAGTGGCTGTCTCTTTAAACCCAACGATCTCTAGTTCTGGGGAAGGACAGGCAGGCTGGACATCCAGGTTCTGACATTATCCCAGCTCTGCTGTCAACTGGCTGTATAGGCAAATCACTCCCCTCCCAGATCAGCACCCTACAGGGTTGACCCAGGCCATTCCAGCCCCTTCCAGCTGCTGCGTGTCCCTTGGTCCTGTCTCTCACAGCACCCACATGCCTCTGCCACCCATCTGGGGCTGCTTGGGGCTTGATAGCTCTGGGCCTCTGGTGCCCCTAGAGTTGATCTGGCTATAGCTTTGGAAGCCCTGTGACCTTCTCTCTTGCCCCCCACACCTCCAGACATCACCCTACAGTGGCTTATTCAACACTCAAAGTCACGGAGAAGCTGAGACTGCGGCCCTTCCCCCTCGGACCAGGGATCGTCACCCTCCAACCTGAAGCCGAGCTCCCCGCCCACCCCGCCGTCCCCCCAAGCCCACCCCTCCTCACCTGGTATGGGGAGGGACCCTCTGGGATTCCCAGAGTCCTGTTCTGCTGAGGTTTGAACTCCTGTTTTTATTGTAAAATAAATTGCTCCCATTCTTGTCCCCTAACCTCTCAACCTTCCCCCTCCCCCTAATTCCTCCGCCCTGCCCTGCTTCCCACCCTCTTGTCAACCCTGGCCCCAGAGCCCTGCCCCCCCCCCCCCCCCCGCCTCCACTTCCCTTTTCAATACTCTTCTGTTATTGTCCTGTGTGTACAGTATATATATGTATATATATTTTAATTTTTTAATTTAAGCAAAGACTAAAATCAACCATTTGATGCTGCAGGGGCCAGTCAGGATCTGGGAGGGGGCGGTCTGAGAGGAGAGAGGTGGGCTTGGCTGAGGGCCGGTTCAGATCAGGAGGGGTGAAAGCTGGCACCTGGGGTGGGTGCCTGCCTGGGTCCCGGTGACCATCCCTGCGTCCTGTTTGTTTCCTCTTCCCACCCTGGCTCGTCCCTGCAGTGCTTGAATGTCACAGGCTGACCGGAGCCTCCTGAGGGCCAGGGAGCCAGTGTCCCCCGCCCCCCTCCTGCCTGCCCCTGGCTCCCGGCTCCGCCCCTGCCCGGGGCTCCCACCTCCACAGCCCACCTCACTTTCTGTTCTCATTTTGCAGAGTTGCACAAGGAGAGAACTCAGCATGGGGGGTTGGTTCTTTGGGTTTGTTTCTTGTTTGTTTATTTAATTTAATGATTTGTAAAGTGATGTTCCTCTTCCTTTTTTTACACTTTTCAGCTCACATTTAACCTCTGTTTGGAAAATGATTCTTGTAACTGTACATTTTTTTGCCTCCTAACAACAGCAAGAATAAATTACCAATTTTGTGTTGGGGGGCGTGTATGGTGCCGCTTCTGTTTCCATAAATGGCAGGGATGCCCCCACATGCTGGGCACCAACGGCCCCCAGCAGGCACGCGCCGCTGGGCACACAATGGCGCTGCACAAAGCCGCCTCCCTAGTGTGAGCTGGGCTCTTGGTTTGCCTCCTTCCTTTTCTCTTGTTGGGCTTTCATGGGGTGCCTGCTTTGAGCTTGCAACGGCCAAGTGAAGCTAAGAAGGTTGCTGTTTGGAGCAGCCGGGGCTCGAGGGCGGGAGGGGGCGCTGAGTGTCCTGTGCCCCCAGCCTGAGACCCTTTGGGACTTCGCCTGCAGCCTGGTTCGCCAGCACTCGGTCCTCACGCAGTCTGGAGCCACTTGGCAGAGCTGCTGCCTTCCCTCCATCGCTGCTCCTCTGTGGGGACCCGTGCTGGTCCTTTCCTTGGTGAGGCCAGACCCTCACTCCTGCCCAGCGCCAGTCACTTCTCCAGCCCCACTCCAACCTTCACAGCTGGGCTCCTTGCTCACAGCCCCATAGCTGCTGCCTCCAAGAGCCTTGGGGTCCCTGCTGGGCCCTGCTTATTGAGTCTGAAGCCATCTTGACCCAGTTTTACAGGAAGCTCCGCCTCTCCCCTGCTCCACCTCCCTCAGCCTCTCTGGAAAATGGAGCAGGCCCAGCAGAACCTCCAGCCCTTCTCACCCTGCCTCTGCAGGAGGAAGGAGCAGCGGCCCTTGGGTCTGGACACAGGCTCACCCGCTCTGGGTCCTGGGCCTTTACCATGGGTTCTGAACTTCCCCGGCCCCTCCTCTTCCGTGGGACTGGGGCTTCCTCCCACAGGTAGCTCACAGTCAGCAGAGCTGTGGGAGAAACGACCTGCCTGGAGAGGTAGTTAGCTCCCCATTGCCGAGGAGTTTGAGAACATTGTGGATGGGCTTTGGCAGGTGGCAACAATGACGTTAGGGTGCTTGTTGGCTCCTAAAGAAGATGAGATGTCCCCCTGGGGGGAGCTGGACCCTGCCTGCCCTCTCCTGCAGAGAGGCAGGGTTTGCCCCTGCCCAGGGGACAGGGACAGGACCTACAGTCTCACTCATCCAGGGAGCAGGGCGGGAGTGTTTCAGGGTTGACCTGCCTTTCTCAGGGCCTGTCATCCTCCAGCGAGGGGCGAGGTTTGAGCCAAGTCAGGACAAGCCAGTCTCCAGCAAGCAGGCACCATCTTAACACTGTGCTGAGCATAGCGGGTGCACATGTGTCTTACCTGCTAAGCTACAGGGAAAAAAGACACCAGCTTATATGTAACTGCTGCATCAGGGCCTTTGAGCTTCTGACGAGTTGAAGCTGCCCTGGCCAAGCCTGCTATACTGGAGACCTGAGTTCCTGCAGGTAAGGGAGACAGGGTGCCACGCACTGTGCCAGCTGCTTTATGTGTCTTGTCTCATTTAATCACTAGTCCTCTGTGAGGAAAGGGCTGTTCAGTTTACAGATGAAGCTGGCCAGAAGTTCTGTAACCATCCAGTCTGACTGGATGAGGCAAGTTTCACTCCAAAGTACATGTGCTTCCTGCCACAACTCCTTCTGAACCTGGTACCGGAGCCTGAGTCTGGTCTCCTAAAATCAGCCCTGAGGGGGCAGTAAGTGGCAGTGACGCCACTGAGCATCCCAGCTCAAGTCCATCACCCACTGTCATGCCAGCCTGCCCCCCGCCCCCAGCCAAGGACCCTTAAGCAACAAATGCCACATTGTTCCCCCAGCTGGCCCAGGCTGGAGGGATAGTGACTCTTTCCCAAGGCCTGGCTGGTCTGCTGATTCTGCAAGCCATTCACGTGGGCAGGCCTGGGAGGCGACCATGGGGGGAGGGGGACTCTGAGCTGCCAGCCAGCAGGAAGGGGTGGCAGAGGGTGTCTTTATGGAAAGGCCCCCCGAATAGAATGCTGTTTATGGTCCCTTCACCTCAATTCACCCCAGTCGCCCTCCCTACTCTTCCTCAGAAGCTGTTGGTGCTTCTAAGACTGGGGGCAAGAGAGCTGGAGGGAGGGGATGTGGAGGATTTGGGCTGGCAAGGTTGCCTTGGCCCCTCTTCAAACCGACTCCCTCCACTCATCTCAAGTTTCTACAGACAAAGCTGGGGGCTTCAGTCACTGTGGCAACAGGTCTGTTGAGAAATGGGTGGGTGTCATTCCCCAGCACAAAGAGTGTGCGCATGACAGCACCATCACCTAGCAACCGCCTCCCTCTCTTGGCGGCTTCACCCAGCCGAGGGTGGGTGCCAGGGAGAGAGAACAAGGCTATTAAGATCCCCAGGAGAGGGGGAAGGAGGCTAGGGTATGGGTGGGCTGAAGCCAAGGGGTGTGGGTGGGGTGGACAGAGGAGAATGCAGCCCGGGGCGCTGGGCCACCCTGCCCTCACCATCCCTGGCCCCTGGGGACCCTTCCTGAAGCCCTGTGCACATGTTCCAGGTTGTCCTGCCAGACAGAAGTTACCGCTGGGACCCAGAACTGTTTTGTACGGGCACGGAGGTCCTGAAGAAAGCTGAGCTTGTGGAGCAGGGAGAGACTCGTGGTCAGGACTGAAATACCCCTGGATTGACCTCGTGCCAGCTTCTCGGGGCCCAAACAGGCCAAAGGGGGATCCCTTGGAAGGGCCCCAGAGGTGGAGCTGGGGGAAGTGGGACCCAGGGCAGAGCCGGTGGGAGGAGCTAAGAGGTCTGTGAGGCCACAGGATGGTGTTCTGGCTAGCGGGAAGCGGGGATGTGGTGGGGGCAGGCAGGGGGCAGGCAGCTGGGCTTTCTACAGGCCAAACAAACAGTCAGTTCTAAGAAACTGAACAAGAGCAGATCTCAGAGTCAGAGAGGTTGGAAGCCCTGGGGCTCATGAGGGAAGGCTGCTGGTTTCCTTCAAATGGGGGCTTTGTGGAGAAAGGGAGAAGAGGTGGGGAACTCCAGAGGACATAAGTTTGCAACATTTTGGCTTCCCAGGGGTGACTGAGCTCTGGCCAGGGTGAGGATTTAGTCCCCAGGGCCCAAGATTTCTACTCCACCCTTTCACAACCTCAAAGCCATGGGGCAGCGGGGCTGGGAAGAACATCACCACAGGCCAGGAAGAGGCAAAGGTGGCCAGGAGAAGTCCCCCCAGCAGGGTGCCACTCAGCCTGGGGGTGGCCCAGGAACATCTGGGAGCTGCCAAGATGTGGCACAAGAAAGTCCAGTGGGCACAGGCTACTTCTACCTAGTTTATTATTTTTTTAAGAAGGGTTTTCTACAGGGAAGCACCTAACAAGAGGGGTGGGGATGGGGCCACCCAGGGTGCCACAAAGAAGTAGGAGGAAGGACAGACAAATGCTCTGGAGGAAAAGAAGTAGCCAGAAGTAGACATCCAGGGCTAGGACTGATTGGGTCCAAAGAGCCAAATCAGGTTGACCCCCAAAGAGCCCCCTATTCCAGGATGAGTGGGAGCAGGGAGATGATGCTTGGAGAGGCACAGCTGAAGTTGAGTCAGGTTGGAATACAGGAGGAAGGAAGCAGGAGCGGGTATAGGGAGTTGTCTCCCGGCTGGTGAGACTAAGTTTCTGGGAAGCTCTAAGGACCTAGAAGCATCACCTCCCACCAGCTGAGAGGACAAGACAGGAAAGACCCTGCTTGAGGAGGGAGGTTTGGCATGTCCCCACCTCTACAAGAGGAACCAAGCCCATCTCTAGACAGCAAGATGGCAGAATCACCAGACACAGGCTGGGTGACCCCCCCCCCATTCCCCACCCGTGGCCCCGTGCCTCCCTCTGGGCCAGGTCTCAGCACGGTGTGCCCAGGGGCAGGAGCGGGGGTGACTCCCTGGGCTTGTGGAAGTAGATAGAGGAGGACATCTCGGTCTTGAGCTTGTTGTCTGAGCCATTGGCGGCCGAGGTCTCAGGGGCACCCCCACACTCCTCGCAGCAGCAGCAGCAGCAACAGTCCAGGAAGGCCTGGCCCAGCGGCCGGCATAGGCACAGCAGCAGCACTGGAGTGATGGCACCCTTGAAAAAGGTGGAGAACTGGTTGATGAGGCCCAGGAGGTCCAGGGTCTGGCGTGTCAGCTCGGTGGAGAGGTAGGCCACCACGATGTTGCAGACATTCTCAGGGAGTGTGCAGAAGGCGTAGACCACGGTCAGGCCCACCACGGCGCTGTTGAGCTGGCTCTCACACTGCTCGTGCTTGCCCGCCCGGCACTCCGGCTTCCGCCCCGGGGGGCCCCGCACGCGCCACGTCACCAGCTGGCAGGTGACCGTGA